AAAAAAAAAAGTGTAAGTACTAAATGCAATTGCACATACAAGTTCACATTTTGACCAATTCCTCACATTTAAGCAAAATGACACTAAGCACAGAAAAAAAAAATCACACTGGTAAGTATAATCACATTTCCATGGTACAGAATATGATTTCACATATAATGAAAGTTCCCATTCTTGAGTCAAGACACGTCTATGCACAAGTACCACCAAGTATAAAGCTATCTAATCTGTGCAAAACCACAATTATACAATCTGAGTAAAACTTCGACTAGTAAAAAAAAGCAAACAAAATTCAGTTCAAATTCTTGAGCGTCTGTTGACCATGTGGTAGTTTCATATGGGTCTTTACCGTCTATAATGCCCAACTTGTCCTCATACCTCTTCCTTTCTGGTGCAGGTAGACTTAACTTATAACTGTGAAAGTTGTTTTCCTGATTTGAAACGGCGTTTGTCTTCGTATCTTTCACCCTAACTCTCCTCATGTTAATCGTGCTCGACGCCATTTTCCGGTCTACCAATATGGCGCGAGCCCAAAACGAGGCCGCCTAGAGAGATCGCTCTATACTAATATTTTAACGCAGACATTGAATTACATGTACCACTAACTCCCCTTATTCATTCCTTCAAAAGAAGTACGACTGCACAATGATGTATTACACTAATATAAACAGAGCAATAAAAACATTATTATATTACTCTTTAGATAACTCGCCCCACACCATACTCACTTATGAACAGTGGACCCCAATACTTTTAAACATTAAAATATTTCATACATTTTCCCCAGTGTATTATCATCTCAGCGTACGTACTATATGTACCCCTGTACCTTTTATAATCTACATGTAAACTTATTTTACGTTTTCCAATATACAGGTATAAATATCTACCTAAAATTTATTGTGCAACCAATTTCACTTGTTAAATTATTAATTTCTGAGTTGCACTTCCAGTTGCTGATGTCTTACTTGATACGAATTTCAATGAAAGAAATAAATGTATAGATACAGTGTCAGGATTTAACAGTATCATATTTCAAAATCAGAAATAAATGCACAATGCTCACTGCATGACTTAACAAGTTACAACAGCTGTCTTGATAGTTGCAGTGAAGGCCGACAATATAAGTCAAATACCTACCTACAGCGTATCATATTTCTGATTTATTCCCATCGTCGGTGACGACTGTTTCCTGTGTCACAATTCTTTTACAATATTCCAGTGCATTTGCTGCTGTTTAAACCAACTGCAGGTTTCATTATATATCCAAAATACGTAAGATTCCGAAGACCTGCAGCCAAGACGACCACGATCACTGTGCAAGCGAGGCAGCGTAGTACGGCCAGGGTGCTATGCTTCGGACACCTGAAAAATACACGTCTATCCTAGGCTTCATTCCCATACCTAGATCAATCTAGCGTAATCGGTTCATCTCCGAGGGTACTTGGCTAAACTGCTCTCTGCTTAAGTGGCTTAGATGTCTGCCAAGCCTACTGAAGCTGCTGAACGATAGTTAATTACCCCCTAACAACTTCAGTAGAGCCGCTGACATCTGACATCTGAGCCTCTTAAGCTTATAGTGCAGTTGAGCGAGAATCCCCTTGGAGATGGACCGGTCCCGCTAGATTGATCGATGTATGGGAATGGGTTCCTCGTTACTTAGCATAGCTCACAAGCGTTAATTGCCCAGGGTCAGGACAATAGACAATAAATTCGACTAAAGTTCACTGCACCTAAATTACCTATAATTTCAGGATAATTGCCCTGTACTTAAGACAGGCCTGTTATTATAGGATAAACTTAAAATCGCACCAAGCGATTCCTTGAGGATGTATACGTTAAAGAATCACTGCTGGTACAATGTACGATAGGGTTATGGAAATAGTCTCCTAGACGTTTTTGTTATCATGCAAGGGCACATAACCACTGAACCGCGTTGACAAACCAAGAGAGTCAGCATTTACATAAAGCAGAGTTACATGTAGAAGCCTTTTGGTTATTGTTATCCTTCTTTTTATTGTTCTTCCTGAGTGATTTAGATAGCCGGCTATTTTTCTTGTCTGAAACTTGCATTTAATTTTCAGAACTTTCTCTACTTTACACATATCGTATATCCCTTTTTCTGTTTAGATTGATCTTGGACCTAAATAGAGATCTATTTAGGTCCAAGGATTGATCTTATGATATTTTATTTCATTGAACAACCAAATTGCTGCTATAAGCACGAAATGAATATAATTCTTATAAAAACCGATGCATATCTACGATCATATGAGATATCCTCGCTACTTGTGCAGCTATACTGACTGGAAATCGGTTACTACTTAACATGTAATTAATTTTAGATTCAGGATTTTGACAGGGTACTGGTAGGGGCACTGGTATATGAGAAAACTAAAATTATCTTGCTTTGCTTGACAGGTATTGAGTAAATTAGGATAGTTTGAATTAATGTGAAAGGCAAAAGGTTTGGTAAAAGTTCACCTTTTTATTAAGGTGTGCTAGAGAGAAAAAATGGGTTGCTTTTAAAACTAATTGGGATAATGCAAAATTGAATTGACACATTGTTCTTCCACTCAGTATCAACCAACTAACCCCAAGTAGGACACTATAGCTACATGTATTCTCATTACATATATCATGAATACGATTGTTGCTCTATGGGGAAAGTAATTGCTGGAACTAAACAAACATACGTGCCAGATTGTAGCAATTCAGTACCCTTGTTTTCTTTCTGAAACGCACAGTTATCTTCCATGTGAGACATATAAGTAATGAAAATATCCTACCTTGTGTATAGCGTGGGTTCTGTTGGTCGGACAAGTGGTTTGCTGGCAATTCATAATTGAGACTGACAGAATATCTTATTTACGCTGTCACTTCTCGCCCCCAAATGACGTGCGCACTTCTGCCATGATTGTGACAGGGCCACGCCCTTTCCTCTCCACCGCCCCGCCCCTTTTTTGAAGTTGATGTTAATTTCTCACTCAGACATGAACGCGAGACGCCGTTTAATTCTTGATTGCCTTATCTGGGTGTGGTTTTTACCTACTCCGTGATTGCAAGCGTGTTCAAATTAAGTTGACTGGGGTATTATTATTACATCAATTCAAATGTCAAAACAGAAAAGAGGAGTAAATGCACTTTTGTTTGACCTGACGGCGGTCGCGGAGAGACACGGACTGTTTTGTAAACAGTGAAGTGAGGTATCCTTGACTTAAGCGCCATCCAGAAAATAAGAAATGTTGATGGGTAAGTACTGTGTATAATAGGTTGTTTAGTTCACAGTAGATGGTGTCTCTGTTATACCTTAGAGCAGTTCCGTTTACTCGGCATTTTCACCATAATAAATTCATTTAAACCATAAGTATGTATCTGCATTGTAATTGGCGGTAATTGATTGATGAAAGGTTAGTGATATTAGGAGGGTAATATTTGTGTGTTGTTTTATGAATAGAGATACTCCAAACCCGGATTCTGTTAAAAGCGCATCCACTTATCACATCTAACACATTGTAAACTGTGAGCTGTGGTACGTTTCAAAATATTGATTCCGAAGTTCATCATTATTACGTTTGTAAATATGTAAGCATTAACGAATACTGACGCTTCCAGTTCAACAGTCTACAAATCAATTTATCCTTATAAATTAACTAGACTGTAAAATTAATTTAAAAAGTAATTGGAGATCGCTACAGGAGTATAGACAGATCTAATTTAGTCCTTTTCTGACCTATCCTGAACATTCTTCCAAACTTGGTCCACGGCCTTCTAATATACTATCCGCGTTAAAGTGTTCCTTCCACAGAAATATTATCTATGTCTGAATACCCTACAAAGCTACATGTGCTTATTAAACTGGACGGCATTGACGTCTGAGCATCACGGAGCAACATTGAGAAATAAAAAGTTAAATCAAAAACATAAAATATCAAATCTAAGTGCAACGTCGGGTCGAACAAAGGTTAACGCGAGTAGGCGAAAAATTTGAATTTCCTGATAAAGCGTTTGGTAAGGCGCTGAATAAAAACAGTTGATAGTTGATAATCAAAATTTCAATAGGTTCACGCCAAAAATTCGCCTCAATGCGTATTTAAGGCGAAAATTACTTCAGCAAATTTTATAATTAGACGGTTGTTAAAAAAGACTACAAAGCTCATACGTTTTCTAAAATAAGTACAACAATCAATTGCAAAATTACAAGAAATCTCATCCACTTTCATTTTATGAAATTTGATAACTAGAGGTTAGATAACTACGATAAAAGTATCAAATTCCATCTTTTAACCTTACCCAGAAAATTCACAGGTCGTCGTAAACATTATAGCAGGCAACGTTAGTATTTGGCAGAAAGTTAAAATTCTGGATCTAAAGAGGAACAGCCAGAGAGATGATTCGAAGTTAAATAGATATTACCGGCTCTTACAACTTGAAATAACTACATTAAAAAGCATGAATTTATTACCATAGCAATATAAAAAATAATAGAAATTGGTGGTATAGTACATAACAATCGAATAGAAAATAAACTCCGCATTTAGGAAGAGCTAAGATTAGATTAATTCCAGAGACAAATCTTCAATCCACATCTTACTCTTTTACTTATGGGAATTTTTCATGCTTTCAGCACCATCTATTCATATCCAATGGACATTTTGTGAAAGAAAAATAATACATGTGCGGGGACACGCACACACGGCTACACACTAGTTAAAAAATCGTCCTTCTTTCGCCATATTAATTAGCATATTTTGATTTTTAGACTAGGTTAGAACCTTGCAAATATGGTAAATGTCTATAAAGTTAATGTCACTAAAAAGAGAGTTAATGTTCGGAGGAAAAGTGCATCTCTCTTATCCGAGGTTGCAGCACGCATGCGCAAAGGCTCAATCCTGACTTCTCCTTTATGAGACAGCGCATCACAGAGCACTGGACTCTGTAACCTTCGAGGCAGGACGGACCCTCTTACTGCCAACAGCCTCTAGAAACGTCTTCCTAAACTGCTGGTATCTGATCACGTAAATAACAGGATTCACCGCAGAGTTCAGAACCGTCAGCTGAACAAGCGCCAATCGAATCTTCAATGTGAGAGGATTATAGTTCATGAAAGTGTAACTATGAACGCCGAGCATTACTATAATAGGTGTCCAACACGTGAAAAAGCACGCCAACACAAGAGCAACCGTGCGTGATAGTTTAGCAATTTTGTGCTTGTCATGTGACAATGAATGTATTTGCGCATGCTCGATTTTAATGTACATGAAGAGTATCCCTGCGGCGTTAAATACGAAAAATGGTACAAGGACCCAACTTATGTAGATCTCCGGGATGACCAAGGACAATTCACACTCTTTGTCCTTTTCAAATGACCAATCCTTATGCCAGAAAATCGGCATGACAAATCCAAGAACAAATGCTGGAATCCATATTGAGAGAGCCACACCAACGAACCACGCTTTTTTGTTGCGTGACATATGCTTTAGTGGGTATATTATGGCAAAATATCTGTCTACTGTAATCATGAAAAGCGACAGAACTGATGCCATGCCGGGGAAAAATACGAGAGCATACCATAAGGTACAAATATAAATGTCCTCAAATAAGTAATCGTACGATACCGTAGCTGCATGAAAGATGAGGGTCAGCCCAGCAACTAGGTCCGTAACTGTTAATTGTACCATCATAACACTGTTACTTGTGCGTAATCTTTTCACTCGGCAGTATGCCACGAGCACTATACAGTTGCCGACGCAGATTAAAACCATTAACATAATGAAAACTGATATCATCCAAGGTTTACTCCATTTTGTGACTGCTGCCGTCGAGTTCTCAACACTGGTTGAATTTGTCCCTATGTTGGAAAAAGTCTTCAAAATTCCTTCAACTGTATCATTCATTTTGGTTCTGTTGTAATCTGTTAAAGTGTAGTTCGTTATTTTGTGACTCGGGATAAATCGTCCTTGTTAAAAACTGCAAAAGAGATTGAAATATTTTAATCAACTGCGTTGGCAAATTTTTTTCTTGACTAAATGCGTCTTTTTTTCTTTCCTTTAATAATGAATTTTTAAGGTTGAATAGGAATGCAGAGTCTAATCATATACCGTTTCAGATTTTAAAATATATATATTCTCAATGTTTCCCTAGTTTCATTATTTAAACGTATTTCACTTTCCTGACGTCATAATACATCATACGCGCATAATACATGTACAAGAAAAACGCAGCATCGTGAATGGCTTCCTTTGGCTTCATAACATACTGGATAAGAAAATAAATTGGTAGTTTTAATGTGGCATTTTGTCATGTATCATATAAACGGGTTTGTTCCTGCGTGAGATAGCGAAATGCCACGGTTCGGACATTGCGGGTAAACAATGCCTTGAGTGTCAGAGCAACGTAAAATCTAGCTTGTTAAATATACCTTGTGATGGAGTCGCTTTTACTAGCTCTGACGAACAGCGACAATCTGAGAGCGTTCTTCTTCAAAAATTTGCTTGGGGCCCTTCCATATTTGGAAGTCATACGTCACAGCTCTGTCCGCCTGAATCCATATTTGGAAGTCATAAGTCTCGTACGTCACAGGTTTGGCCGCCTGGGGCTGCCTTTCCCGCCTTGCGCTGAAGTTATCTCGTGCAGACGAGACAAGAAGCAATTAAAGTGCCTGACGCGGAGTTACAAGTTTGAATTGAAAATATCTTGCAGTCGAAGGTCAGTACCACAATACAAGCAACATTCTGCTTTAAAAACTGACTTTCGTGTAGCCATTGCGCAGCCCTTATAGTGGTATCGGGCATACAGTGTAGCTGTCAAATTTGGCACACGGGAAGCACGTGTATTGTGCACGTGTATATCTCAGGACTAAATGTTCTTTGATAAGCAAAAAATACAAAAACATTGGATATATCTTTTCTTTCGAAGAAAGTTATTTTTTCACTTTACATCTTAAATACAGCAAATGAAATTAAATAAAGCAGAATTAAATCTGTTTTACGTTTCATTTTGGTCTGATTACATTCAACTGCAGATTCACTGCGGAGCAGTTCTATTTGATTGACGAAAGTGTAACATGGCCGCTGTTCGCTAGAGCCGGTATTGCTGATATGGGTTATATATGAAATCAAGGGCCGGTTTCACAAAGCAGTAGTTAGTTAGAACAACTAACTACTGAACTACCTCGCTAACGAGCAAACTTAGCGATTTTCGAGGGGTGTTTCACGAAGCAGTAGTTAACTTATCGCTAAGTTCAGTCGTAAAGTTCGGTCGCTAGTTCTCTCGTTACTCACCGTATTCTCGAAACCGTCTGCCGGAAGTGGAACTCTTGCGTAAAAGTGTCACGAAAGCACTACCTCTCCAATTTTTGGTGGCTGGAAATGCATAAGAACGTCTGCTTTGAGGTCGTCGTAAAGGATCTCCACCACCTTTTTTGCCGCTCTTTTTGTCACAGCTAGGCGCAACCGCTCGTAAATTGCATCATAGTGTGTATATTCTAATAGATTCTGCCTTTCATGAAAACGTCGTAGTCTACGTTGCCGTCTGGCGGTACGGTTAGCAAGAAAGGTAGCCGCCCTATTGGATACAAAGACAAACGACAGACAACGGTAACTAAGCCACCTTTTTATTTCACTCATTACGCATGCGTACGATGAAACTCTAGAGTTNACGATGAACTGGGGCCGGTTTCACAAAGCAGTAGTTAGTTAGAACAACTAACTACTGAACTACCTCGCTATCGAGCCAACTTAGCGATTTTCGAGGGGTGTTTCACGAAGCAGTAGTTAACTTATCGCTAAGTTCAGTCGTAAACTTCTTTCGCTAGTTCTCTCGTTACTCACCGTAGTCTCGAAACCGTCTGCCGGAAGTGGAACTCTTGCGTAAAAGTGTCACGAAAGCACTAACTCTCCAATTTTTGGTGGCTGGAAATGCATAAGAACGTCTGCTTTGAGGTCGTCGTAAAGGATCTCCACCACCTTTTTGCCGCTCTTTTTGTCACAGCTAGGCGCAACCTCTCGTAAATTGCATCATCGTGTGTATATGCTAATAGATTCTGCCTTTCATGAAAACGTCGTAGTCTACGTTGCCGTCTGGCGGTACGGTTAGCAAGAAAGGTAGCCGCCATATTGGATACAAAGACAAACGACAGACAACGGTAACTAAGCAACCTTTTTATTTCACTCATTACGCAAGCGCACGATGAAACTCTAGAGTTAGCGACTGGTCTGACCAGTAATTAAATATCCAAGGTAACAACGAGACAATAACGAGCGAGAGAACTAGCGATTGCTTCGTGAAACGGCACTCATAACTACGGTAGCGATAGGCTAACTACCGATCGCTAACTAACTACTGCTTTGTGAAACCGGCCCCTGAACTTTGATTGTACCATTTTTAGTTATTATTATTTTTATTTATTTATTTATTTATTTATTTTATTTATTTATTTATTTTTTTTATTTATTTATTTTTTTTTTNTTGCATTTTATAGAGCTTGTCAAGCACAAGACTGGTGGTGGTGTCCCTTTTTTTTGGGGGGGGGGGGTCCATACGAATGTGCGTACTCCAGCTGGTGGTACAATATCCGGAGGCGGTATCGCCTCTCTGATCCTCTAGTTTCATTTATCCTAGGATGAATACTGGTCTGCACTGATTTGCTATAAATATAAACGTGCGTGCGCCGTGGACGGCAAGTGGAGTAAGTGGAGCGCCTGGAGTGGTTGTACCACCAAGTGTGGCCCAGGCCTAAGGCAGAGGACCAGATCGTGCGATGAACCTAAGCCAACTAATGGTGGCGCATATTGTACTGGGCGCAGCTTTCAAGAGACAGATTGTGTAGGAGACGATTGCCCAAAGGAAGGTAGTAATACACCAAAGTGATATATACTCTCTCGCACACGTGTGTGTATGTGTGTGTGTGTGAGAGAGAGAGAGAGAGAGAGAGAGAGAGAAAGAGAGAGAGAGAATTAACATCATTAAGATCAGTGGTATAATTTTAAATGGGACATCCCCCTTAGGAAAACTTCAGTGGCATACAAATGTTATAATACGTCTTCCACTTTTCCGGTTAGGTATACTCGTCAGTAAGTTAAGCGACTGGTCCGCTTTCTCAGAGTGTTCAATCTCATGCGGCAGTTATGGTTTAAGGGTGTCCAAGCGGGAATGCTATGGAGGTGGAATATGTACAGTGAACGGGAAGCCCGTGCAAGAGTTGTTGCATTTTAAACCATGTTATGGCGGATTATGCCCAGGTGAAAATTTATACTGTTTTCAGAACACAATTAGATATCATTTGCGTATTTTGTTAAACTACAAACGGGAAATTCTGTGTTTTGATTTGATTTGATTGAAGGACGAATAGTTACAAATGTGTTCCCTACCGTCAAAAACAGGGAAGCAGAAACGATGTAACAGAATAAAGTGCAAATAGTGAACCTGTTAAGATGTCCAAAGCAAAAAAAAGGGGCGGGGGAATAGAGTGAGATTCATGTAAAAAGATTTTTAAAAAATGTGTATATTAAAGTGAAAGGAAGATGGGGCCAATGGTCGGCGTGGACGGCGTGTTCAGCAAAATGCGGCACTGGACGCAAGGGTCGTCTTCGTATATGCAACGCTACCGTCATTGATGAGCTTAGTAGCGAGTGGTGCGTTGGAGACGAAGTGAAGATGAAGAAATGCAAATTGCCCTGTACGGATACGGGAGGGAAAGTCAGTGATGACGAGGAAAGTATTTTCAGGATTCTTGGAAAGGAAAAGAAACCGAGAGGTGAGTAATGTCAGATTGTCATATGATAAGCCTATCTACATTGTACCGAGTAGAAAGACAACCCAAAGCCCACATTTCTATGGTTTCGGTATAACATGCCGACTGCACATAAAAACCGGTACCTTGTGGCCTAGAGAAAAACTTGTTTAGGTTTTTAAAAAGCCATTGTGTACTACTTATTATGCAGTGACTTTAACTAAAGTCATATTAGCGTTTTGAGCAGTTGGTATAGTAAGTGAATGTTATTTTTCCTTTTATAGATATACGATTTGACATTTCACATATTCACATTTCACTACTTCAGTGTTGTTATTCGCTGGATTATAATAGCGGGTTTAAATAATGAGTTGCATTATCTTTATAGTTAAAAGAGACGATGATGGCGATGGTGACGAGGACAACAATAAAGAAAAAGAAAATGATGGTGGTGGTGACGGAGAGAACAAGAACGAAGATTATTTCTTGAACGAAGGAAAAGAAAAAGAAAAAGTGAACGCACTTGCTGATGAAGAGGAAAATCCACCAGATAAAACAACCACTACACTGAACACAAAAAGCACAATCAAAGAAGTCCCAACAACAAAGGTATAGGTTTTTTTTCTTACAGGGCAACTCCATGGGATTTTCTCGCCAAATTGGATTTTCCCGGGAAATAAGCTATTTTCCGTACTCATGAATTATTTGTCTTTATTTCTTTGCACTTGGATTAGTTGATTAGTTTAAGATTTGAGATTAGATTAAGATAGTTTAAAATTTGACTTACTTCAAAATGACTGACCTGTCATTATAACCAGCAATCATCTTCCTACTATATGTTCGTATGTAAATATCAACATCAGGTACAGTTATGGGGTTAAATGTCGTTTTTAAGGTGTATGTTAGGTTTTATTAGAAGCTGTGGATGGCAAAAATAAGCGTTTGGGGAATTTTCAAACGCATGGAGTGTACCTTAAATATTCAGTATGATCATGTACTCCCAGAGAAATAATGACAAAGCTTCTGGGAGCTATTTATATGTGTAATATCTATTTTAATCACTTTATCTATTTATTTATTTACTATTTTGGAGGGGGGTTATTTATTCAACAATTAGGTGTCCTCGTTATTGCTCATGCAAGTGTGTCACATTGCGAATCCTTTACGAACCATTTTTATTTACATATTTTTAATTTCCGATTTAAATTAGGAATCTCCCGTTATAAAGAACATATCGAAGTCAGCAGACATACTAGCTAAAGGCTCCTCCAAATACAAGCCACTGCCTTCAAAAGAGCCACACACAGCATGGTCAGAATGGACGAAGTGTTCTGCGTCCTGTGACGGTGGCACCCGCACTAGGACAAGATCCTGCCTGAAAAGAAAATTCCCGTGCAAGGGAGAAATACGTGATTTCCAGTTCTGTAACACCATGGCGTGCCCAGGTATGCTTACAGGGAATTAACAATCATTTGAAAGGTGATAAGAATCAGTGGTTTAGAACTCACTTATTTGGGTTTTGATCCCAAAACAGGAGCAGCAAAAGTTGAAATAAAATGGCAACAGAAACTTTGTAACTTGATCAAATGTGAGTTTTTTTTCTAATTTCAATTTTTTTTTCTAAATCCTTCTTTTTTAAGTGACACAACGACAGCCTTATTCCCGATTTCTCAGCTGAACTATATCACGTATAAATTGTCACAGTCTGAAACTTTGCTTGTACCTACTGCTTGTATATAAGTTTTAATCTTGAAATACATATATGTGTTCAGTTGAAGGTGATTGGAGCGAATGGCTAGGGTGGAATCCGTGCAGTGTGACATGCGGTACTGGGCATCGTACGAGATACAGAAAGTGCGACTCTCCACTGCCATTACTAGGAGGTACCTGTGTTGGCGACGACCATCAACGGAAGAAATGTACCATGCCCGAGTGCAGTAAAGGTGATTTCATATCATTTGATACCGAATTTATATCTGTACTCAACTAATTTGATATAAGCCAGATTGATGGCGATCAACATATATATGTCTTTCTGAACCCCATTCTCTACTTATCCATGTCTCAATCAGGCACTTAGTTGGTAAAAAAAGGATCTATTAGGGGGTCTTTGGACTCGTTTCAGCGAAAATAAGAACGCAATCTTCTCTCACTGTGCAAAAATACAACATAATGCCAGGAGTTTGATCTATTCTGTTCTTCTATTCAATCGACTTTCATTTCCCTTCCAGACATTTCCTCGACGTGGACCAAATGGTCCAAGTGGACAGAATGCTCTAAAACGTGCGGACCTAGCAAGAAATCGCGTTCGAGGAAATGCTCCACAAACTCTGGTGAAAAAAGTCACGTTTGTGTAGAGGCATCCACGCAAACTGTCCCCTGTCACCCGAGACCCTGTCCAGGTATGTAAGAGCTTCTGTGGCGTTGTTTCTTCTCACTGTATTAAAAACAAAAGTAATGCAAATGTGTATTCATATTTATCCTCAAATATAACTTTATGAGAACGAGATTTGTTTTTATCGCTCAAACTTAACCAAAGTATCTGATGCAATTTAAAAAAGGCTTTATTTGTCAGAAATATTCGACTTTGCTGTTTTAAAGCTCTTATCAGTGTGTTCTCATAAAATTTTAGTTATGCATTCAAATGAAACTGTTTTGAGTACTACATATTTCCTCCAAGTACTTAAGGTGCCACTCAAGTAAGTTTTTGTTGAAATAAGATGTCTGAGATTTTCTTGAGTCAAACATTTTGGACTTCAGTTAAAGGGCAGTGGGCAGCCTGGAGCAGCTGGGCGAAGTGTTCTAGGAAGTGTGATATCGGAGTTCGTATAAGGGACCGCACTTGTACCGACCCAGCACCCGTCGGGACAGGGAAGAGATGTATTGGGTTAGGCGCCGATCTCTCTCACTGCTTCAGAAGGCCATGTGGCGGTAGGTACATTTTAATATATCTAATCGGATTTTAATTACTTTATATAGAAAATTTTGTATAGACTGCTGTTTTTCTATGCCTTTTGAATTTGTCATACAACTTAACCCGTTGTGATGTTTTATCAATATGTTCAATTGTTTTTAGACCCAGTCAATCAAATACAAAAATATATGTAATAATAATAATAAATAAAAATAGACAGAACAGTGGGTTTTGCTTTTAAGTTAATACCGTCGTGGTTTATTTTAGACCCTGGTGAATTGGCATTGGTGTTCAAGGGAGAAGGGTTCCTGCAGTACCCTCCCAACGATATCGTCAGTCATGTCCTTTACAGCTTCATTCGGTTCAATCCCTCGTCCGGAGAGGGCGTCTTGCTTCACGGGCATAGTGCCAACTGCACGTCGGACAAGTGTGCGGACAGCTTTGAACTTTCGCTTAAAGACGGCGTCTTGTGTCTGAAGGTTGACATGGTTGGACAAAAAATGAAGCTGCTTAGCAAAGAAAAATTAAAGGTGAGCGACTGATCAATTTTATAGTTTTAACTTGTATGAAAACTTGCGATTAAACTAGGATTTTAGCGCGTTGCTCTTGGCCAAAAACGTTTTAAATACTTCTTACAGTAGATAAGAATCAGATCATCTAAAAGATCAGCTAATAGATAAGATTAGCTCATATTGAAAAAATAATAACTTTTGCGTCTTCTGTGAACTGTTTGTAGACTGGCGTTTGGCACAACGTCTTGATTTCACTGATTGGCAAGCGTGGTATGATGGAGGTGGACGACAGGGAACAGATAAGTGCGAAGTTTAATGTTGATCTAGAAATGATAGATTATGATCTTCCCTTAACCCTGGGCGGAGTCGCTCCGGACAGTCAGTCAAAGACACAAGGTACACACACTCATCATTACCAATAAGGGTTTTAATGCTGATGATCTTGACTGAACGTGTTAAAACTACTTTTTAAATTCACTCAAAGAACGGAGTTATTCGTGGATTTAATTTTTGGAAAAGTCAAAAAGTTTAAATTACTTTTTTGTTCTTGTTTATGTCTTTCGTTCTAAATAAATCTTTGTCTTTTTAGGGTTTGAGGGAAAGATTGCAGATCTCCGAGTGAATTACAAAAAATTTTCACTGTCTAGGGATCGTCATTGGCATGGGTATGGCAACCCGGATAAAAAAGCCAATGTGAAAAAGACTAAAGCAGGTATGAGTGCAGGTATAAGTGCCATCCCAGGGTTTGTTTCGTGCCTTTCCTTGTAGCATCTCTGTATGCAAACTCAGATGTTCTAAACTCATTTTTTTTCTTTTCATAAATGACACCGTTATGCAGTTATATATATTTGGATTTACATATCATTTATTGAAAAAAATGTATGTTGTTTCAGTTAATTCTCAAAATAACAAATCTGTTCATGCAATCGCAGAACATTTTGTCCCCAATTTGTTATTATCATTTTGATGATACTTGTATCTTTTAGATGTCGAAGCAGTTTACCCATCGTTTAACGGCAGCTCATACTTGCCACTGTCGTCTGCTCCAAATGGAACCCATTTTCAGTTGTCCCTCGTTATGAAGCCAGTAAACCTGACCGGGCTGATTGCCTTCGTGCCGGGAATGGTCAGCGGTTCTTATGCCTCTGTGATGATAAGAAAGGGGAAACTTGAGCTCTGTATAAATCTCAAAGTGGATCGGACGTGCCGAAAAAGTGGGATAGAGTTAAAGGTAATATTGAGTTATTAATGTTACAATTTCGACCACTAAAAATGTCATTTTTATAATTAAATCTCTCGCATATATGTATATGTAAATATGTAATTAACTTATACAATGTATTGTTAATCTTTGGCGAACCTAAGAATATTATATATCCCCAAGAAATTAATGTAATTATTCAGTGCCTGCAGTGGCCATTTTACAAACGTGTGTTATTTGTTAATGCGGACCGTTTGTTTCGTTTTTTAGGTGAATTCCTGGTATTTTGTAGACATTAACATCGCAGGGAACACCGCGAAATTCCATATAAACGGCAATGAAGCCAACCAGTTGACCGTCCAAGGACAACCATTCACAATCAGAGGTAAAGTTTACATTGGTGGAGGTAGTAACACAGATTGGACAGTCTTTACCGCTGCTGGTAAAGTGAACTCCGGATTTGTTGGAATCATCGAACAGATCATCCTAAATGGCAGGGTTTATTCGATGAAGAGGCGGTTGTTACGTGGACGGTACGGTCACTTCAATGGCGTAGGGGCTAGCGTCGCAGGTAAGGAATGACTGTAGATCTCTATAACTGCGATTAGATCCTATATTGTTCCCAGCAAAAAATAGAACGCTTTTTAGCGTTACCATAACGTAACCATAACGTTTTTGGTTATATAACGGTGTATATATATCACGGTAACGTTATAATAACGTTCTTGGGTTTGTACCGGTGTATTCATGTATCACAAATACCATGAACAGGCCTACCAGACTACCAGACTCGGCACCTAAGGATCCTGAATTAACCGGTATATCGGGCCACACTACCCGTTTTCAAGGTGTGTGTCAGATCGCATTTCGGAGTATCAGCCAGAACACCGACAGGATGAGCCCTGGCATGCTCGGCTGTCACCTTGATTGGATAGTAAACGATTGTCGTAATTCGCTATGATTTTAAAACCGGGTGCATAAATTTGAAAGCCACCTAGATGAACCTTAGACTGCCACATTACTCTAATACAATGCAAAAAACGCCCTATCAAAAGTGGTTAAAACATTCAAACCGAATGTCGTTAAGTCCCCATATATCCCCATAGAGACAATAAAATAGAGTACTCTAAAGTAAGAGTACAGTTTATGGTTGTTCAGCTGAGCGTGGATGAGCCTGCAGTCGTGCTACAAAATTTGTTCTGGGGTATGATACTCCGAAATGCGATCTGACACACACCTTGAAAACGGGTAGCGTGGTCCGATATACCGGTTAATTCAGGATCCTTAGGTGCCGAGTCTGGTAGTTGGGTAGGCCTGATGAATTCCTTTCCTATTTACTGTATGACCAGTACATTATAATGAGCTGTTTGAGAATGAGGAGACAGTGATAGACCTGCGATGCGACTACACAGAGATGGTGTTAAAAGCCAAGAAGAACGAACATGTGCACGTGGAGTGGTTGAGAGGCAACCAAAAATTGGTACTGAATGACCATATGACTCTCCTGGAGGTAACGTAAAGAAATTCCGAAGCACTTTAATTATATCGATAAAACTATTTCGCACACTAAATTTCAAAAAAGATTTTTGTTTGTTGTAGCTAATTCACCATGATTGTTATTCATGTCTTTTGTCGCTTTGTTGAATCACAATTTTGTCCTTTTAGGAGCCGGGTTTTGGTAATGTGAGTGTTCTCCGGCTCCGCCCGAGTCACACGGATGCCAACACGGGGATCTACGCATGCTTGGTCACCTTCAGGAACACTGCCACGATTTTACGGTCATTCGGAGTCACGTATCACCCCTACGAAATGGGTAGGTGAAGGCAGGATTCCTTAAATATTTATAAAAGTTAATAACATTTTGGTTTGTGTAATGGGTCCTTTAAATGTTTAGAGTAAATATAATAAAAACTAAAATATTTTCCTTGTACAAAATCTTTAAATATGACGAAAAAAAGGTAAAATTGAAAATCATCTATATAATGAGTTGATAAAAGTAAAAAAAATTATTTGTTCTTTATAATAGATACATTTCATTAGTGAAAAGAAAATTATAATGATAATTGATAGTTAAATTTATTAATTTATTAATTTATTTTTATGATTATTTGTCTTCTCTCGTTGTCAGTGATGTCTTTCTCCGCGGAGTTGCCCCAGATTTCTGTAATAGTGGTTAGTGTATTGTTAGCAGTCCTTGCTTTGGTGCTGTTCATGCTGCAACGACTAGGATACATGAGGCAAATGTATGTTTGTATTAGCATGTATTAATTATTTAAAGACTAGTCTTTTTTTTACGTTTACTGATACATTTATATCATAATTAGCGTAAAACATAGTGTATAACATCGTGCATTTTTTACGGGTATGGAGTAGAGCGTACCGCCGGAGAAATGAATTCCAAGTTTATATATTTTTTGTCATTTCATTTTATTTCAGCACCCGGAAATTCAACTTTTATGGCAAACTTGCAGAAAGAGCAAACAAGAGAAAGAAATCAGACGCTAAATATGAAAGGTAGTGTTTCATGTCAAAACAGTGATCGCTAACCCTAACTAGAAATAATTCTAATGATTTTTAAATATTATTATGTACTTTCTAGAGAAAACTTTAATGGAAAATGACTATATATTTTTGTTACTCAGGTTAGACGGACCGAAAGCAGAAGAAGAGGAGACATTAGATCAAAAGGCGAAATCATCTAAGGCAAGTTTAGTTTGTCAGTGCAGCCCGGTCTCCTTTTGTAATTTTAACACACATTGAGATATTGTAGCAACATTCATTTTTACACATCTCAGATAAAGTCCAATTTCAGTCTGTACAACGGCTGTGGGTCCAACCATAGATGTTGTGCTGTTATGTTTTCATTTTCCCAGACGTCATAACTGAAATCATTATTTTTGCTTTCTATCCATTGACAACATTTTGAAATTATCCGTTTCACAATCTGCAGACTTCAGTTAAGAGCAGATCAAAGCAAAGTGTGACTGGGTCAGTCCCTGGATCTAAGAAAAGTGTGAAGATCAATTTGACGGGCCCCTCAAGCGATAGCCTTGGTGCGTCCAAGGAATCTCTGATGTCAAAAGGTTCCAAGAAATCCATAAAAGGTGATTCTAGGAGCAGCATAAAACAGATGTCTTCTCACCGGTCTCTGGCGTCTGTTCATCAGCGCTCTGGTGCCAGTCTGAGCTCGAGAAGCAGAGCTAGTGGTACGTACGGGCCTTTAGCTGAATTTGAACATGTTGCTTTGTTTTAGAATGGTATTTCAGATTTACGATAATTATAATTTAAAACTTTAAAGTGGGTAGAGACATGTTCTAATAATACCATGGAATCGAATGTACAATGGAGCCTTTATGGTATATAAATATTTCGATTCAGTTGAATCTACCGTGAAGAAAGAAGATGAGATTTCAGAACTCTGTGACCCTGGTAGGTAGTTGTTTTTCCAGTAAGTTTTAGACACAACAAAGGTATCCGGTGAATGTTATCATCTTACATATGTGAGAATGAAACGGAATTTATTAATTACTCTTATCAGGATTCCATTTTACCACATTTTATGACTGATTTAGACTGTATATACTTATTATAATAATTATTATTAGTCCTAGGATCAGCATCATCAGTTGCATCAAAGTTACGCGAAGAAGCCGAGAGAGAGTTTTCAGAGCACCTCTTGAAGAGCCAAACTAACTCGGTCGTGAGCCTAAAAGATAGTGTAGCTACTATCGGTAGCATGACTCAGAAGGGTAGCACTATTAGTGTTCCTAGTGTCGCAAGTGTGGCATCCAAGAAAACGTCGGGCGATTTGTCAGTAGAAAAGCACAGCAGGTAAAGTCCCGTTTCCTACTGTTTACCACCGATTTTTTCTTCAAATAATTGAAAAGAGGGAAAATGATCATTCATTATGAACTGACAATTCAAGTGCCCGTAATGTACGTAATCCAGTTTCTTTTTTTTGGTTGAACTTTAATGGTAATGTTAAGATGACATCCTTTTGATAAGAATTACGTTGAAATACAAAGCTGTTTTTGCTAATTTATATTTCAGCCATTCGGTGAGGTCTACACCTTCAAAAGCCAAAGAAAGTTAGGCTAGCCGAAAACGAAAAGCACATTAAAATGAAAAAAGAAAAATACAAAGAATCGCCAGTGAGAAGCGTTGTTTACAGTTGTATACGTAAACAATAACAGCTATAGTTAAAACGTAATGGTGTATATTTTAAAGAATGCCTTTTCAAACAAATGATACCGATTTGTAAGATAGTAAGACATAACCAAGATAAAAAAGGATGATTCGCTCCATTTCTTCTTCGACATGTGTGTGGAATGATTATATGGTATATGATCAGCAATCATTAGACTTATCGATGTTTACACCAGATTAAATATTAGATGAAGGTCTTTGTTAACATTCTCGAACGTTCCATTTTTAAATTTATTGTAGTGAATAAAACATAATAAAAGACGACGTGTGTTTCCAAACTTTATTGTGATAAATAAGTCACACCTGTACAAATATCATCACTCGGTGACATGGAATAATAAAATTGAGCAAACACCCGGTCACTTGAGTTACAGATGAGATTTGGCGAGCTTTTTTACAACAATGAGATCTTACGAAATGTAGGGAATTTTCGTGCTGCCCTCTAAAATAACTGCTGTAAAAGTGGAGCACTTAGTTTTTTTCTAGTTTTGATTGTCAGATTAGTTTTCCTATGCTTTGCTTGAGAGATATGTGAATGTTAACAACAAAAGCTGTAGCGTATAATGTACAACACATATGGAATGTAGCAGTAATTAATAGAATAAACGATGTAAGCAAAATAGAATACTGAAACAGTACTACTACAAGCAAGATCACAATAATTTTGATATTGATAAAGATAATTTTGTTGAGCAAAGTCTTTGTGAGATTGTGTGTACTGATGGGTGGCTTACAATTTTAAAATTATATTCAGCAGATTAACCACTGGACGGAAATTTGGCATTTTTGGCCTTGTTCATTAAAATATATACAAGATCTGTTATTTACACCCCTTCCATAAAACAGCACGTACTTGTCCAGAGAACACTTCACTCAAAATGTTGGAATTTCACTGATGCTAATATTATGCAAACAAAGATACTTGTTTCGTTTTTCAAACTAAATCAAAACTATCACTACAAGTCTTGGTGCCTAAACATTGGTGCCAAAATCACTGGTCAAAATTTGGATTAGAGTGTTTCTCACAAGTTTTCGGCTTATTTCTTGCTTCAGTTCATATTGCAACGCAACTGTTTCTCGTAATATTGCGTTTTAAGCAGATTAAGTCACTTTAAATATATTCCTATAATACTGAATTGAGTTGCTGTCCGAAATTCTATAAGAGTTGTCCTTGGAAAATGTTTAATATGTTGTCCTAAGTCCAGTTTTAATACGACGCGATTCTTGGTGTCATGGGGAATGTCTTACGCATTCCCATACACTTTTCCCTATCAATGAATAAGCTGTTGTTCTTGACAGACAAGTCCTGTTCCAGAGTAGCTTTAGTACGAAGCAGGTGTTGAAGAGCATTCTCTGCCTGGCGCAGCTTAGCTTGCAGCTGTTCGACGGTTTCAGTGATTTCGTACACTTCCTCGACCAGTCTGAAAGAAATTAAAATGTAATTAAATAATATCTCAAATTTATGTAAAACAATGGGCATTTTATCGCTGTGTGATTTTTAACAAATCTTATGAATGCGTGCGAACAATTTCTATGTTAACTTAAAAAGATGGACCAAAAAAATAGTAAAAGTGCTCTTACTCGTTTCATTTTCTATTTAAAGGAAGAAATTCTCCTCGTTAACGTTTTTCTTAACCATATAAGCCCACTATTTCCAGATATAGTTATTTGAGATCTTACCGGTGCTGAACAGGGTCTCTGCACAGTTCCACGTTCGGGCGGTGTGTCCTTGTCTCGAGACGAGTCTGGGCCACTTGCATGGGGGCGGTCTTATCGCTGATAGCCTTCTTGAGAAGTTCAATGTTCTTCTCCATGTCGAAAATTTCTTGAAGAACCTGAACATAAAATAAAAGGTAATATAACTGTGTTAAGACTATGTGACCATAGAACTGCATAAGAAAGAAAACACTACCAGATGCATCAGAGTTTGGTGAGCTGTAACGTAGTTCAAATATAAAAGGCTATGTTTAAAAAATCCCATTATTGTCTAATTAGTTTCTAATATTTTTAACACATAACTGGTCAATCAAATCAAAATATTACCTTAGAAAGATGGGTCTGCAGCCTGTTTCTGGCTTCTGTAGATTCCTGGATCCTCTGAGTAAAGGCGTTATTGACTGCGTTCCATTGTTGCCACATTTCGTTTGAGCACTGAGTGAGTACGCTTTCGATTTCATTGCGCATTTGCTTGGAAGCAGCTCTCTCGCTCTGGGAACGCTGGATGTTATCATTGCTAAACTTAGCCCATGTTTCGGGTACAGACACACTGAAAGTACAAGGTAAATAAAGATAAATATGATAACTAAATGGAAACATAATTATGGGAATTATTCCATGACATTCAAATAGAAGAAGGTAAATTTTACGTTCGATGCACAATATTTGTTTAAATCGTTTAGTTTTGATAAGTGTATATTCTAACTTAAAATTATAGTGACATCTTTAACTCTAACGTAATACTACGGCAACGGTACAAACATTCAATTTATCGAAATTGTTAAATTTTAACATGAAAGGGATGCTGAATGCAATCACATTTAAATAGATTTATTGTCGGTTTTTTTTTCAAAGCAATACCGCATGGTGTCTCATTATCGTTGTACTTTGAATACAAACTCACGAGGCAAACCGTGCCACTGAATTCTTATTGATTTAGAGCTATTGTTAATGTATAATTAATGGACATTCCACTTCGATTTACAAGACGAGAGTAGGTGATAAGAAGAAAAGTTGGGGCTTAATCAATAATACTTCCAATAAAATGCCATTGTTTTAGATTTTACCTTAACATTGAGGCCATTGGATTACTACTAGTGTTAAATTTTTAAAAAAGGGAAATTCGCTATCCAATTGATCCGATACAATACTTAATTGATTGCGACAACACAAGTTAGTATGTATGTCGAAAGTACTGGGATTGAAAGATATTTCAATGTGATGAACAAGACTTATTATCTTTTCAAATTGTTTAGCTACGCTTAGATATCGATGTTTTAGTCAGAAGATTGTGAAACTAGGAACTCATGCCATTAGAGATAAATATACGCAATCCAAGTATATTAAAATATACTCACGTGTTGTCAATTCTCTCAATGCCATTATGGAATGCCATGCCACGAGAAGTGTTCTTCATGCCGTGGCAGTTGGTGTCCAGATTGAGGGCCATGAATTTATCCCCAGTGTCCTTCTCAAGTTCATGCTGAGCTGCACGGTTCAGACTGAAATGACATACGGTAACAATTCATTCTCATATTGAATATGTGAAAAAAAAATTAAGAACATTGGTGCTCAAAACAACCGTAAGATAAAAACATCACTTTTTTTACATTGAGAGGCCAATATTTTTCATTTGAAACTGTGGCACGTCCGTAGTATTCTAAACGCTATTCAGAGGGATTGATTTACATCACAATAAGTACTGAGCTATGCTGATTAATTCTGTTAAAGGTCTTGTAACGTTGTGTGTTGCCTTCTCGTAATTACCTGAGTTGCATGTTAGCTCTCTCAATGGTCTGTCTCATCTTCTCCTGGCAACGCTTGATTATGTCGACTTCCTAAAATTGGATGGGACTTCATTAATACATGACACACTGATCAAAATAAAACAAACATTGACAACATAAAATTCATTAATCAAAGAGCAAAACTACTGCAGACCTTGTCAGTAGTTAACACTATGAGTATTTAATATTTTCATAGTTTACGCCGTAGTTTTTTTTTCCACCTAAAAAAGCATTTATGAAAAATGGTCTGTATTTTGAGCTAAAGTCGTACCTTAATCAATTCTTTCTCTACGTGATCGTGCACAAGGTCAATGGCCTGTCTCTTCTCACGGTTGTACAGGCACTCTTGGGCAATATGAAGTGGGTTCTCTGTCTCCTGGAGGGCCTTCTCCAGGACTCTCTTGTGCTCGACCAGGGCGTTGATCTCAGTGATCATCTGGTCGGTCTCGTGCTGGACCTCGGTCTTCCAGAACTGAATATCCCCTATACGTTCTCCAAGACGTTTGCCGACATCGGTCTGGGTGCGCTTGGTTTTGTCGTCGGTCTCCCGGCATAGACGCACGGTGTCAAGCCTGAGACGTTCAGCGCTGCTCCTGACGCGGTCGGATGCCATGTAGTTAGAGTTGTTAGACTGGGACCAGTCATTTGGGGTGTAACGGGTGTACAGGGCATTCCTGGCAGCGGCAAACACTGGGGGAACCTTAATGGCATCTAACTGTGACAGTTGGTTCTGCATGGACAGAGGCTCTGGCAAGCTTCTGGTGACAGCCATACTAGGGTTGACTTTAGCGGTCTGGTAATAGGTGCTGGGTCTCCATGGGAGGGTGGTGAGGGAGCGTCTAAGAGGTGAGGGAGCGGGGTAGGTGTCGTAGGCTTTGTAAGAAGACTGCATAGTGCTGATGGAGGGTAGGAAGGTCGGAGCTCCGGATCCACCCAGTTTTGGCCCAGTCATGTATGAGGCCGTCTGGGTGTGGCCCATGATTTCCATTTGACTCATGGTGTAGGTGAATCTGAAAGATAATATAAACAACTAATATACAAGACTGCTGCAAGTATAAGATTTACATTTAATATCCGGATTTAGTCACTCTCTCGTTGTTTTAAGATACCCGAAGCAAGTCAAGGCGTTCTTCTACGTCAAGTGTCAGGTACCGTACGTCAACGAACATGACAGAGACTAGTCATCTTTCGTTTTACACGGGGTATTTCTTACCTCAAACAAACTATTGTGATGACGTTAACACTTATAACAACAACATGATAGCCTACAAGTACCAAGTTCTAGCAAACTCGGCAAAAACAGTAGGAATTTTGGATTTGTTCGGATAAATCAAGAAGTACATTTACCTTAATTCATTAGTGATTACTATGATAAATCAACAGACTATCGAAAAAAAAATCCCATTAATAAAGTACACATTTCTTTAGATTTTGTGAATATAAAGGCACTGTCTTGTGTATGTTTCCCTGTTATCTATAGTATAGGTCTACATGAGCTACCGGTTTCCAGTAGCTAACGCTGTGGTTTATAATTCTTATAATGATCATACAGTACATACACCTTATATTCATAACTCACCTATTAGCTGCTAATATTCCTATCGTTCGGGGTAGACTCTACTATGAACTAATGCTAATTACTGTTGTTTCACGAATAGTTAAAAGAGTAGCCGAATGTTTATAACAAACAGCACCGTGACAACAGGAGACAGGGGAGACAGGTTAATCAATACCAACTAAGCAACAAACCCATTCCATAAATCAATAAAGTAAACGTCACCGCTCTTGTCGGTCAATCGTTACGGTACGTAAAAATCCATAAGCACATGGACCCGTTTTAATTTCGACACAATTCCTAAATTCTGGGAATTTGCCTCGTTGCTATGGACGCCCTTTTCAATAACTAGCCATACCCCTTATAAAACGGATTGGAATCAACCGTCGTAAATTTAATCCAAGTACCTGTCAGATATCACAGTATATCCAAGCGACTAACTCGATTTAATATTGATTTTACAATCCATGTGTAAATACAATGATTCAGCTGAAGGAATGAACGAGAAAACCATACGTATCTTGGGGCTACAATCAGCCTAAAGTTAAACATAAGTCAACTATTACTGTTAACTTAAGGTGGAAGGTCATATACATTTAGTGCTCTGAGTCAACTTAGTGAAGTTTAAGATAAATAACACATTTTCTCCTCATACGGTTTATTCAGTTCAAGTTATCAAAGATTACTTAAAATAAACTAATTATTTGGTAAGCTGTTAAACTGAGTGGCTCCTGTTCACATTACATATTACAAACTTATTGAAGACCAAATAGGTAATGAAAGTTTGAAAGTTTCTCTGAGTCAGATATAATTTGTTAAAAAAAGAAAAAAATCACGACATATAAAACTGAACTTTGAAAAACGAAAACTAAATGATAATAACGTAAACTAATTATTGAAATGGAATTGATAATCAACTTTACCTCTGACAAAGATTTGCTAGTCAAATCAAGCAATCTTTTCAACAACCTCTACATGATTCTACATGTTAAAAATAAATTATTTTCTTTTAGTCTTATACAGCCGTTAATTACTTTAAGCTTCGAAAGAGAAATATTTTTTGCATTTTTTCCTTTCTTTCTATATACAACGGACCTTACAAAGCCTACTCTTTGCGGTAGCCTGTTGTTTTGCAGCACGCTCAAACTTTTCCTTCCCGAAATGCTTTGCAACAAAACAATTTTACTCTTTCGACGCGGGAGGTCAGTAAAAGGACAGAATGGCGGACGTTCCACAAAATGCCCCAGAACGTAAGTTATTGTATTTTTGCTGTTCTGATGACCTCTCTTAGAAAACTAAAGAACTGAAAATAATTTGATGATCTGGGGATTACAATGCTGTTAAAGCAAGCCAAATATGTCTATTTTCCATTAGACTCACCTGTTAAGTTTACGATCAAGCAAAAATGCATGGTCATACTACTAGAAATTGTAACTATGGAATGGTAAACAAGAGTGAAATTTCAAAACTGAGCCATGTACCTGGTGCCCTCATCGCAAACAAGCCACTTGGAATCTAGATTCAACATATATTTCATAAAAAAGTACAAAAGAATAAGGGGATCATTTCAATCAACATCCATTCTGCATTATGATTATCAGTTTGTTATGAAATTGAGTCAACTATTGATTGAAATGAAGTTTTATAATTATTCTTTTCTTTATTTATGTTGGAGTTTTTTCTACATATCTGTTTATAACCCAGCAATTGAAAACTTTAGATAAGGTTACATATTTGGTGCTTGTAGTTGTTTCTATTTAATTCAAACACCACATAATTGATGGTGAGTTCAGAGACGACTTATTCAAACCATTTTTGTGAAAGTGGCAGGATGATTTAGAAAGACAATTAGGACAGAAATTTAAAAAAATTAAACTTATTCAAGTGAAGGAATGGGTATTAATGTACTAGTACTAGAATGAATTGCATTTGTTTCAGAAGTTGAACTATTCTCACTTAACTTTAAAGTAACATGATTCAGATTGTTGAACTATTGACCTGTAGTATTTAATGGCCTGTTTTACATCTCATGATGCAGGCATGGAGAATCCTTGAAAAGGAAAATAAGTTACTGTAACATGTTTCTTTAGCAAATATATTTACTGTATATTTGATAAAAACAAAATTAAAATTTTGGATTTAATATATAATGCAATGCTTGATATTAATAAGAAAAAACTTTATCTGAGAAATACTGTATTTCTGTCTCAGAATGCCCAGGCACCCAGAGCGAGGAAGCAGGGAAGAGTTCAGCTTGTGCAGGCTGTCCAAACCAGATAATATGTGCCAGTGGGGCAGCCAAAGAACCTGATCCCGGTAAGTATAGAGGGAGTTGAAAAAATAAACTCAGATCAAAACATACTGACTCAGAACAAACTCAGATCAAAACATACATTACTGTATTTGGTTTAATAGAAGGATATGTGCTGGTAGGACCAGTAATGTTGCTGAAGTTAAGAGAAAAGAAAAAAAGTTAGGAGAGAACAACATTGGCTTTTTAAATTTTATGGGTTTACCTTGGTGAAGTCTGAGGTTAGAAAGTTTCACAGATTATTGGTTAGAATGCAGTATTACTCCATATTACAACAGGATGATTATATGATTTCTAGAACATGATGCAAAGTCATAAAAATAGATTTGTAGCTTAGCAACATAGACATCTCTCATTTTTCTCTTGCATTTACATTTCTCTTTTTCAGTGTCTCGGATGTCAGTGCTTATTACATAAATTTTCTAAACTTTGTCATCATTTCCAGCAATTGAAGAAATAAGACAAAGGATGACCTCTGTCAAACATAAGATCGTAGTGTTATCTGGCAAAGGTGGAGTAGGGAAGAGCACATTTACAGCTCATCTAGCTCATGGAATTGCAAATGATGACACCAAACAGGTAAGGTCAGAAAGGGTGTAAAATTGAATAAACTCACTTGTTGTAATCTGTATGGATTTTTCGTCTTTGCTATATTTGTAGCTCTAGACTTCTGCCAAAACAACATTAAAAACTTTTCTCTTGTAAACTTGTATTAACTTGGATACACTGTCTTCTAAGCAGTCAAAAGGAAAAAATGAAATACTAAAATTCTGCACTATAAAATTGATTTATGAATCAACCTCAGTATATCCAGGACAGAAGACTGTCTTGGCAGCAAGATAAAATGATTTTCTTATACACTTATTCTAATTCTATTAAAACCTGTTTGAGAACCAGTCCCAATTATTAAATTCTTTTTAAATAAGAAAAGTCCCGTCACACTATCAAACTGAACTTAGTGGTTTGTAGGCACATAACTCAGTTTGGAACAATTTGTGCTGACTACGAGGTCACAAAAAACTTTCTCTTATAGTTTAAGTTATAACTTTTAGTCGTGGCCCTATAAATAACATTACACAAAATATGCAGACATGTTTTCTGAAATGTGCTGCTCTCCCAGGGTGAATATCAAATTACGCAATTTGTCTCACCAACATATTGAAGATATTATTATGCAACCTTATGGCTGTTTGTTTTATTAGGCATCGTGTTGTGTATTAAGATATTTTATCAACTTTTGCCCACATAAAGGTGTGTAAGTTTTCTGAGCTTTAAATTGCTCTTAACATCTAAAAAACCTTACTTGCTGTAAAATCCTTTGATGTCCCTAGCTATTAGTTCTGGTGGCATTTGATAAAGAACACTTGGGCATGTAAATGGCATGCAGAAATGATTAAGTACAGTAACTTGAAATAATGATCACCAAAAAGGGCTCTGTTATGCAGCAACTCTGGTGTTAATAGAGTCTGAATGGTTGGTAGACACATTAATACCTTGATTGACTTAAATCCTAATACGGAAAGTGGGTTAAAACTTAATTGATGTCCAGAAAATCAATAATTAGGAATTATTTATGATCTAACTTTGTATATTTTGGACTAATTATAAGATGTTATAGGTTGGAAATGTAAAATATAGGTGATTTGATAGTTAAAGAGTCTTAAATCTTAGATCCATAATTTGGTTGTTATTTTGACTTTTTTCACTAAAAGTCATGTTGAGATGGATTTTTGTCTTCACAGGTTTATCTACTTTTAAACGAAAAATACTTAATGTTTTAATTGTATCATGTTTTAGTGGTTTGAAAGCAATATAAGTGGTTTAAATATTTTGGGAGTTGTGAATTTAATAATTATAACCTACCTTGCAGCAAAATATTACATGTCAGATATTCTAATTAAACATCACACATTTTTTTAAGGTAGCTGAAAAACAACAAAAGTTTTTTTACCATATTGCCTTTGCCTTATTAATTTAAATCAATATTATTTAAACTTACCTGTAGAGGTTTCTAGTTAATGTAATTCTTCAACTTAACGTGGTGTGTGCTAAGTGTGAGCTTCATTCATTGAGCGGTGTGGCTTCTTAGCTGGGTATACAACATGGCTGCAGCCATGGAGACAGTAAATTACCCAGGATTCATTGCAGCAGCCAGTATTTGTAAAAGGCCCACACGGAGAAAGCTTGTTTTGTTTATATTAAAGGGGACTGCTTTTTGATGCGAGAAAAAGGTCACATGACTGTGAGGTATTTTATACTGTTTGACCTTTGAAGCGAGAGTGCTGAATGCATTGGACTTTTAAATGGATTAACTCATATTGACCCCCAAATCTGTATTTCTTGGGACATAATATTGACCTCTTAATGATATAAACGTGTGATGGATGAGTGGAACTAAAAGTAATGGTACCAAGTAATAAACTTCTAAAACGTTATACCTTCTCTATATTTTTTTACAAAGCTTTTTCTGTTCAAGCTAAGAAAGTGTTTTGAAACAAAACTGAAGATGTTGATATAAGTCACAGATCTGGGTGGCCCAATATCAGTTTTAGTTATTTTTCTATTTTATTATATTGTATAAATGTACATTTCCCCTGTTTGAGAAATAAGAACCCGGGGCTTGAGGTCTGTATGTATAAAGAATAAAACAAAGAGAGGTTGTGGGCTATAGAAATATTTCTGCTTCACATAACTGAACTGTATTTTACCTTCCACTTAGTAACAGTGAGTCATGTTATGTAATATGTACATTGTACTGCAAGCTGATTTCACTCTGTCTGCAAATCTATGAAGCTGATATTGAAAACTTATAGATTTTTTATTTTATTGAATGGAGTATCCATCAGAATAAGGTTATCTGTTTCTTTTATATTTGCCAGGGGAATCTGTAAATAAGTGACATGGTTGTATATACTATCCCTACCCTGTCCTTGTTTTTTCTTTGGGTTTAGCCTACAGGTACATATCTAAATGAAAAGACTATAATATTGGATGGAGACATGTTAACTAGCACAGATTGGATCTTTCTTAATAATAGACTTTTATCTTGACATACCAGTAAGGAGGCCTACAGGAATCTCATAACCATTAATTGCAAGTTGAATAATTTCGGATTATGTGGAGATGTTAATAACCTTCATGAACTACTTATAACACAAGTTGCTATGGTGGCACATCCAAACAGCAATTTAAAAGATAAGGCCAATAAAGCTCCCCAGCTGTGTAGAGCATAGCTAATTTTCTAAAGGTAATGTCTACCGTAAGAGGGTGAGGCTACTTAGATAAGGATGACCATAAACGACTAAGGTTTACATTTACTAGTAAATGGCTAATTTATCTATGATATTAAGCTGTGTGTATACAATGTAACATGTTGTAGTACTGACTACTTAGTATCAAAATGAATTGGCTGCTAATATCTACAAGCAGTTCAGGGTTGTATGTACAGTCACTGTGGTAGATCGTCACTCAGTCAGGACTACTAAGTTTCCAAATTGTTTCAATGAAAATTATTGACAAGATTCTCTTTAACAAAACACAATTTTTAATGACAATCTTCTGAATCATTTTTAAAAGTAATATTTACCTTTTGGTCACTTATAAGTACCCGATTCTTCCTATCTTCAGCTGTCTTTTGCAGCAGTTGGTGCTGTACTAGCAAGAAGTATCAACATAAAACTAAGCGTCAGGTTACCAAGGTACGATACAGCCCTTTTGTTGTGGTTAGTTACCATTCAGCCTGGCCTGCCTTTCAGTGGAGGGGCGGAGAGAATGGGTCATATTCTCTGGGGGAGAGGGCAATGATTGAATGAATGTTACAAATAAAGCTCAATCTGAATTTTAATTTTGTATTAAAAAGAAAACACTTTTGCTAATTATACTAACTACTTTGGGATTTTTCTTTGTCAATGAAAGTGCTTTGGAAAAAATATAAAAAAATAGCTGGAGTTTTTCCCCTAACTTTCTCCCTGATGGGAAACAACTTGGAAGAACATTTGCACATAAAAGAAACAGCACTTTTGATTGGTCTTTTAGAATGAATGAGATCAAGCCTGATTGGAAGTCAAAACACAAATAGTGTAAGAGGAAAGTTGTATTTGACACCTTTTTTTCTTGTGCAATAATATTGCTATTAAATAAACTAGGGTACTCCAACTAGATTTGTTGTACTGCTTGAAGGGATTGCGTGTACTTTCCTTTGTATAATGGAAAGCATGCATGTTACACCAATCATGTTATAAGGTGACTGTAAACAAATAACATGGGGACTAAAGATTGATAAAGATCGTCTGAATTTGGCATTAAAATCGTTAAGTTGCAAGTTGCACACTAATATGTACCATGAGTTATAATATGACGTAACATTGTATTTTAGGTAGCTGTGTTAGATGTGGATATCTGTGGGCCCTCAATACCCAGAGTGATGGGTCTAGATGGGGAACAAGTAAGTGTAGATATAAATTGTCTGATATTTTGTACTCAAGTATTCATTCCTTGAAGTTTGTGGCTTAACATGATATGTGCTCTGAAATTAGGTTTTAAAAGCAGTAACTCAGTACCAATTTTTGTCTGATAAAGTATTCATTAAAATATCTTTTCTTTTATTCAAGGTTCATCAAAGTGGCTCAGGATGGTCTCCTGTGGTAAGTCATCTATATTATGAATAAAATTATTAAATAAAAGCACCCATTAGGTACTTTTTTTTTCACAAAAGTAACATGCTCTCCAACTTGAACTGTTAGCGATTACTTTTAATCAAGCTAAACATTGATGTCATTACAAGTGATTGGTTGTCCAACTCAACCTTGTCACATGCTGACTATGGTTAGTCAGTGAACCAGTTGTCAACTTTTTGGGGTACAAATAGAGTGGTCAGTCACACTAGTGTGACACTACTGAAACACAGTCTGCATTGCAGTGCTATGGACAGGACAAAGAACACTGAGGCTGATTTTTGCCTAGAAAAATTTGAAAAGGAAAGAAGACAACTGAAAATATAATGTTGCACATATTAAGAGACTTAGTGTACATCTGTACCACTATTGGTATAACTAGTTATATCTATAGGTGAGTGTGTAATATTTGCTGGGTCTGTTCTCTTTCAAGCAGTATGCAGAATGTGGGCTTCCTCAGCCTAGAGGTCTCTGTTACATGTAATGAGTAAAAGTTAATTTTGTTTGTTCCAGTATGTGGAAGACAATCTAGGTGTGATGTCAGTGGGCTTTCTACTTGGAAGTCCTGAGGATGCTGTGATATGGAGGGGGCCTAAAAAGAATGGTAATATCATTTAAAAATGGTGCGTCTAATGTTGGTGTATTTCTGCATGCTGTGCAGAATTTTTAGTGTAAAGCATTTCTTTTGGTGCTCTACAGTTTCCTGATAGGTATATTATTGGAGTGAATAATACTTAAAACTTTTCAAGTTGACCTCTTCATAAGAATAGGGATGAGAATTTCCCTCCTCTTTAGAACTACTGCTTTTTTATGTGTTTGTTAGTTGCTGGATTTTGTACAGAATGTCAGTATTCCTAGGAGGAAGATGATTTTTCGCCTTTTTCTTTTTTAAAATAAAAATAAAATAATTAACATTGTATAATCACGTTTGGGTTTCATTAAATGTGGATTTCATTCTGCAGGTCTCATCAAGCAGTTTCTACGAGATGTTGATTGGGGAGAGATAGACTACCTGGTGATAGACACACCACCTGGTACCTCAGATGAACACCTGTCTGTTGTACAGTACCTAAGTGCTGCTAATGTAGATGGCGCTGTTATCATCACAACACCCCAGGTAATTTCTGGGAATTTTTTAAATAGAATTTAATGTCTCTCTAAATATTTATTCATCTTAATTTTTTTAAGTGTTCTATATATTTCTGGTATTTTTAATGTATATGGAAATATATTACTTTGATTTATTCTTTTGAATTTGTGTAATGTAATATAAAATGGTTGGAAACTTTATCCAGAACTAAGAATTTAAACTATTTGACCAATTTTATTTTTGATTACAGGAGGTGTCACTTCTGGATGTGAGAAAGGAGATAAACTTCTGCAAGAAAGTTGACTTACCTGTGATAGGTGTGGTGGAAAACATGAGTGGCTTTGTCTGTCCAAACTGTAAGGTATATGCCACTTATAAAAGTCTTCATTTGATTTGGGAAGGATCCCATTGCCATTGAATTTCTCAGTGACTTTGTTCTTTTTAATGCAGTAACATGGATAGATAAACTAGTCTTATTATATTTTTTCTGCAAAACTGGAAAAGGCTATGCAGTGTTGATAAAATTTTACAATTAAGAAACATTTAAATATTTAATATCTATGTTTTTTGACGACATCCTTTTACACTGGTTTCAGATTGAATCCCAGATTTTTCCACCAACAACAGGGGGTGCCGTAAAGATGTGCCAAGACATGCAGGTTCCATTCCTAGGAAAGCTACCTCTAGACCCACGAATAGGTAAGTCACAAGGTTATATAAAAGGCATTTATAATGCAGAATTACAGTTAGTTGTGTCAGCTTCATTTATCACATACTATCTCAGCAAACTGTGTGATTACCCATCTTAACCTTAGTGTAGTGGCGAGAGAACAGAGGATTTCAGTTTAGGCTCTATGCTTAGAAATGGCTGCCACACATTTTGCTGAGGTAGACTCTTCAAGCGGTCACAACTTGATTGGGAATATTGTCCTAGACACCAATACAAGTCAAGACCAGAAGAAAGCTTGTTGGGATGATTAAAATTCATTATATTTGTCACCATAAGCCTTGGATTTAAACAACATGCTGTGGTGTTTGTCAGTTTAAGTATAAGAAAGTTTTACTCATAAGGTGGTTTATGTTTAAGTATTTTGTCTCTAGGAAAGTGTTGTGATGAAGGGAAATCCTACCTGTCAGAAGTCCCAGATTCCCCAGCTTCTCAAGCTTTCAGGGAGATAATTCAAAGTAAGTCATAGAATATAGATATTTTATAACTCGTGTGAAGTAATGTGTAAACATGTAGATAATTTTGAAGACTGATTGGTATTGAAGATATAGAAGTAAAATTGTGACTTTAAGTGATGTATTAAGTAGTAACATACTATTTTGTAACTTAATACACGTGTATGCATTAGTTATTCTAGTATCAGTAGGGTCAATGATGAATCGGTAAAAGGTCTGAAAGCACATGCATTCAAAAATCACAACCACTTGTGAATTAATATGCTCTGTGATTACATCAGTATAATAGATCTTTGCTGATGCTTGTATCAGAGCTAACAGTAAAGATCCTTGTGTAATATGGCTGTCCATGCAGTACTGTATAGCTCTGCACAATAGGATCAACATGTGGGGGAGGGGATACAAGTGTTTGTGATTCTTTAAGGGGTTGACGTGTGCTCATGATCTCTAGTTTTCAATCTGAGACCCCAAATGAATGTTTAATTGTAAATTTGGTGTATAGACGCATAAGATAAAGATTCACACAGTTGTCACTTACTCCATGAAGTTTTTTTTTTTTACATTTTTTTTTACATTTTATAACATTGTTGGAAGTCATTGAAGTATTTAAGAACCCACTTGATCCAGAAATATTTCCTTTGCTTTCAGAAATACAGATCACCTGTGATACTTCTGCTGGTGTGTCAAGAGAAGAAGAAACTGGGGAAATGGACACAACGTGACATATATATATATATATATTGCCGAGGGAACATTTACATAAAAGTACTGTTAGTACAGTCGGCATGTGATCTGTGATAGGTCTTCATCCAAATAGTTAACATGCAGGACATAATGGTGGCTACTTGTGTTGTCAAAACTGAGTATGGTGACCATTATTTTCAAAACATGGAGAACATGAATGTTATGTTATGAGAATGCATATTTTTGAAGGTAAAAAATAATGGTTGCAGTTGATGTCTTTGTAAAGATGAAGTATCATATATAAAAAAGCATTGTGCTTGTATGACTTAATTGTGCTGTTCTCAGTCTTTTAGTATAAAAGCGAACTATTTTTAAATGAACTGTCATATAAGATTAAATCCAGAGTCAAATTTTTAGCACCTTTTGATAGTGCTGTTACGTAAATAGACATCTGAAAATGTGCTTACAGAAGGAAGGCTTTTTTAGTGTGAGATTCTGTATTCATGAGGGTTCATGTATCTGCATAAGGTCAATAAAATTACTGCAGTAACCTTATTGCATGTGACACTGATGCAAAAATGCAATAAAATCATTTCCTTGCGTAATTATTATTCATCAAGTTTTTTAAATGAAACTTTATTTTAAATGAAAAATCACTATGCAAAGGTATTGAATGTTTTGTTTATTACATATAAGATGTACCCTGCAGATCCATTGCTCTGAATCTGGGAAACCTGCTTAAATTGTTTATAAAAACATATGCTATAAAGATGGAAATAAAAATATGATCAAAAGGGAAATAAGTGCAATATAAATGGTGAAATGCTTGATTAAGCAGCTAATAACATTGATTGTCAAGTGACTTGTGATACTTTTAAAGGTCAATTCTAAAAAAAAAGACCTGGTGTTCTAGGCAATGCATCACTACAAATTGACAATTAGATTAAAAGAGAGATGTAAATAAATGTAACATACACTTCACATAGTTAATAACAAAAAAAAGTAATGTTTTTGTAAAAGGACATGAAAACCATTAATTTTCATTTCACAGCAAGTGGAAGATTGCTGTCATATGGCTTGCCTAGGCTCATTCTAAAGTTCCACATGCCTATCAACTGCTTTCTTCACACTAGTCTTTCAAATGAAGGTATATTGTCAATTTTACATTAACCTACTTAGAAGTAGTTACAAGTACATGGAAATAGGCAACATGCTAGCATCACTACTGCCTATCACATGGCGAATTAACATGCAGTTGCACATTACTTCATGTCTGTTAATTACCCGTTCACAGGAAGTGTGTGGATCCTGCAGTGTTAAACATCATTCTAAGTATATTTAGATGTGTAATTTGTCATGTATTCCTGTATGCAGTTCCGTAAGGGTATTAAGTCATGATTTATTTGTCTACATGCGCATTCTCAGTCATACTTTGTCAAGAGAATTATTTCTGGCACATGTAAACGTCAGGTCTTCTAGAAGTTTCCCTTTTTTTCTGTTGTGTGGATAATATTTATTATTATGTTGGCTCCATAATGAGTATTTTCTCCTGAGAAGTAGGATAGATTTCCCCATTTTTCCACACTTTCTCACGAAAGTTCAAACGTCGTGCTCTATTTCATTTAAAAGTCTCCAATTTTAATATGGATAGATATAAATCTGTCTGTTAGCTTAAAGGATTATACAATGCCTTTATGAACTGAGTATTGTTGCTTTGAAGTTGGATAAATGTTAACCAATTTCTCCTCATTCTCTCATGAAAGCTCAGAAGTCAGTTTTTTACAGTCTTATCTATAAGTAGGACCCAGTAAATGTTAAATACTGGGTCTTTTAAGAAGTCTAAAAAGTGACTTGTACAAATACTTGATTCTCAATGCTTCTGCTCTTAATCTGAATTCAAAAATATAAATCCTTAAATTGGCCACTTTTTTGTAAAATAAAAAAGTGACAAATATCACAGCTTATTGTATACTTAAATTAAACGGGTCTATATCAGCCCAGACTGGCTCAACACGCGGGTCTGTATGTGCGGGTTTTGTACATTTTTTTCAATCTCCATCTTTGCCTTCTCTCCTCCATTCTCATAATATGCAATCAGATCATTTGCGTATTTCAGATATACACAGTCAGGACACCCCTCCATGCAACAGTAAATTGGTGGTTCTGGTGGTGGGCCCTTCCCTGGCATTGCATCCACAGATGCATTGCTGTTCAGTTTCTGCTGTGAACCCATATTTTCATCTTTCACTTTTCCTGGTGCTCTACTTTGCACTGTTAGAGTCTTTATACTGCCACCTCCCGAAACAAGTAGCTTCTGTTTCAGTATATTCTAAAAATTTGATAGTATATTTCATTTGTCTGCTATTTTAAGGGCTTTTTCATTACTTTTGCTGCTCAAAAGTGACTCAAAATACAATATAATAATAATCCTATTACAACTATTTCAAATTAAAATCCATACCAAACTAAGGTTATGTACAAGTAGTACATGTAGACATTTTCTGTGACAAAATATAGCAATTTTTAACTCATTTGCATTGAAAGATGTACGCTTGTATGGTTTAAAATATTTAAACACAAGAAATTGTCTTGGAAAAAGTGTACATCATGTCATGTATGAAATCAATCACGGAGGCTTTTAATGGCATTTAATTTTACAGAATAATGTAATGTTAATAGCAATCGAAAAAAAATACATTATAACATTAAAATTCTTATAATATTTACAATTTTAAATTGTTGGAGTTTTTTTGAAAAAGATATCAGAAGTCATTAATGATAACAAAGAAAATGACTTTACCTGACAAAAGCTGACTGAACATCTGGCCCCAACATGTCTTAGTGACATAGCTCAAAATTCTACAAAACCAAATTCAACACAAATGCTGCTAAAGAAATGCTGACAATATCTTGCTGTCTGCTTTGCCAGCCTATTTATATCTTGAACATTTTACCTACTACCTTTAACCTTGACGCCCACAGCTTCTACCCACAAACATGACCTTCATAGTCTGTGACGTCAAACTGGAAGTGATAAGATGCTAAATTGCATGCATTTGTGCTACTTATTCTAAGGACGCAGCGTCAAAAAATAACATACATAAATAACTTATTTATTGTTTGAACATGTGCTAGGATGTGTCCCTTTCACCTTGAAGCTCACAAACATGACCTACATATGGTCTGTGCTATCAAACTGTATGTGATATGATGGTAAATTGCATGAATTTGTGTCAAGAATTCGATGTCAAAATGTAAATATTGTTTGAACATATTTCCAACAACCAACAGGACTTCTTCCTGTAGAAAAGGAATTTTATTCAGAATAGGGACTGAAGTTTACATACAACATGTATGAGAGAAGTCATGTAAATACGCTGTGTGAATTCTTGGATGTTTCCTTGAATTTTAATGAGGTAATGCCTCTGTAAACATGGGAATGGTTCAGCGTTGTGCAATGATCAGGATGAGAAACAAGACATTATGCACATTAAGAAAACGGAAGAAGGATGTAATTATAAATTGATTATAAACACCAGTTTTTTCTTTCCCTCCCCCAATGTATAAAAATAAGAAATGAGCTAAAACTTTCTTTAGCAATATGACCCATTTTATATCAAAGTAGGAAAAAAAATTTAAAACTGTCAAATGAAGTACCACAGTGAACATCATCTTGGACTTGTATTGATTCAAATTTTTTTTGTTTTGCTTTTTAATATATGGCACTGTGTAAAACTTTATACTAAGTGTTCATATTTATCACTTAGAAAGAGATATAAGAACCCAAACAATTCTGTCTGTAACAATTTACTAGTACTGGCATAAGTATAATAGGATAAAATGTGACAATATGCTCTGAGCCTTGTGCTGAAAAAAATGCAAAAAGCTTATAAAATGTAAAATATCTGACAATCTCAGGCACTAGTAAAATTCTGTCTACTTTGTGTACTTTTTTCAATAAATATGATTACCAATAAATACTACTTTACAAAAAAAATTACATAATATCAACAAAATGCATCTGGTTCAGGTTAATAGTTCATAAAAACATAACTTAACATTTGTAGAAATAGCTACTACTAATACAAGTAGTACATGAATGTGCATGCCCAGTTTTTTTAGCCATTATAAGCAATGCTTTGTGGCAAAAATACTTAAATACAGTATATGCTGACACACCATCACCTGTTTACCAATGTCATACCAGTAAGTACATTCTATCCCAGAGTCACCACAGTCCAAAAGTAACTCAATCTACAATAAATTCATTTCCATCAACAAGAACATCTGTAAGTTTGGATCTTTAACTTGCTCCTTGATGGCCTGCTTTGCTTTTTCGCCACCATCTTTATAATAGTCCAGGAGCTCTTGTGCGTATGTCAGATATACACAGTTGGCACACCCACTCATGCAGCAGTAGGTCGGTGGTTCAGGAGGGGGTCCCTTACCCGGGACTAGGTCCAGTGTGGCATGTGCTCGCTTTTCATCTTCATGGTGCGTGTCCTCTACAAGTGTCTGGAAGTGTGGAGAATTTGCAATGTCTTTCTCTTCGTCTTTTTTAGATCTAGGTTTCCGAAAAGATGATGCAGGCTTTTGTACTGTTGTAATGGCTCTTTGGATACTAGTACACAAGCAATTTTTTGTTGAATCTTGAACCACTGGTTTCATTAAAACCTACAAAAGAATTATGGCCTTGAATGATTTCCCTTCCTTTCTCAAGCAGTGTGGTGTTCATTTGTACCAGAGTAACTACAGTGTACAGTATCTCTAGAAGTTTCATAATAATCATATCCAAAATGATACTTTAAAGCTTTTGTAATACATACACGTACATGTATTTTATAATGAATATCAACTATTCACATCTCTAAGGAAAGCTTACTATATTAGCTCAGTTTATGGATAACGATGACGTGGGGGCACTGTTCACGTCTTTACAGAGGCAGTAACATACAATGTAATTACATTATTCAGCGCAACTTTATGTGACTACTGATACATGTACAGTACAGACATTAACATTTCTATGCAGTCTCAATATATAGACCATTTATGATTTAGAGGAACAGAATGATATTCAAGAAGCATTCACAGTACTGTTTAAGAGATAGCACCAGGCACATAATGTAGACCCAGTAATAATTAATTGTTTTTTTAAAAATAATTATTATCAACGTTGATAATTATATAAATAAAGAAAAATGGAAGAGAGACAATGTTTTTAAGTCTGCCAAAAACCCTCGGCAACCTGTGTCAGATAAACAAACCCATTAACTTACCACTGAAGCATAAACAGACGGTTTTGTTACATTCCTTGTGCATAATTTTATTGCGAAAGACATAACAAATGTCACATCGTGGATTCACCCTTCTGTTTGACCTCTATGACGTCAAAGGGCAGTGTGACCCGTATGTAGGTCATAGGGATTCCCCCATGTGCGCGTGGATGCTGAAAAGCTAAACTTGCACCTGTTTGCTAATTTGACTCGGTTCTGCCAAAATGGGAAGGCTAGGAAAACTACAAAAGAGCAAGAAACACAAGAAGATTAAAGCAATTGATCCATTTTATGTTGGAAAGAGGGGGAAAGACAGGTATACAGAATTTGAAAGGTGCATCATGGATTTAATGGCTGCAAAATGCAAATTGTCGATTTCAGAGATAGAGATTTTCAGTGCTTTTATGATATCTAAGCTTATATGCATAATGTTTTTTTTTATTAAATATATACAAACACAATACAGCACATTAACGGGCGATCGCCGGGAATTGACGGATATACTACCGAGTTCTATAAGTTTTTTGGGAGGAACTAAAGGTTTTATATAGTGCGTTCCTTTAATTACTCATACAGTAAACAACGCATGTCTACAAGTCAAAGACAAGGCATGATTACTTGTTTACCTAAACCTGGAAAGGATAAAAAACTACTAAAGAACTGGAGGCCAAATTGTCTACTTAATGTTGACTATAAAATCATTTCGGCCTGCATTGCTAATAGAATGAAACGATATCTCAATAAGTTAATAAGTAGCACACAAACAGGATTCGTAAAAGGGAGATTTATTGGTGAATGCACAAGGTTGATTCTCGACCTTATTGAAAAAACTGAAAACATTCAAATACCCGGTCTCCTCCTCCTACTAGACTATGAAAAAGCTTTTGATACTTTGAAATGGAATTTCATACATGCCACTTTAGTATTTTACAATTTCGGCCCAACAATAATAAATTGGGTTAAAACTCTATACTCTGAAATTTCGTCGTCAATTCAAAATAATGGACATCTTTCTGATTTCTTTATTTTTTCTCAGCTGTGCGAGTTTTGTAATATTGCCAAAGAGACAATATATCATGTATTTTGGGAATGTCCATACGTACAAAATATCTGGACTTGCCTTATTAATGCTATAAGGGAAAGTATGAAGATGAATATAGAGAGGCATCCCAAAGTGTTCTTATTTGGTCTTGTACAACAATTCAAGATGGAAGGCATGTATTTACTTACATTGATAACTAAGAAATACATAAGCATATGTAGGTCCAGATCCGACCCCCCCACTTGGGTAGGGTTAATACAATATGTCAGATGCTATGGAAATATAACCAGGTTCTCATTATACATGTATCCTCAAGCGAAACGAACTAACATACAACAGATTTGGCTAAATATTGATAAGATATTAGCGGAATAACAAAACAAAACTGTTTATAATATGTATTTTTATTTCTTGCTCAAAATAAGATCAGTATTTCAGTGACTGAGCATCTGTATTATAAGTATTTGTGTGCACTACAGTGTGCGTGCGCCTTCGGATGTGTGAGGCTGTATGAGAAAAAATGTGTGTACGAATGTGCATATACACTATATTACATTAAGACACACAATCTATTATATCTCTAGTTCTTATAGTGGTGCACAGTATCACCTTGCTTCGTTGACGTATTGTTCAGTTTATAATGTACTCTGTAATGTACTGAAGAATTTTGTATATTGTATTATACGTTCTACAATATTAAAATAATAGTTCAGTGACTGTGCACCCATAAAAGTGTATATATTGTATTAAGTTAAAACTGTACTGATGTAGTGTATTGTTTTGTATTTGTACTGAAATGTGCTTTCTGATTCTGTGATGTATTGCATGTTCTCGTATATATGCATAATGTTTTGCCTATCATAATCCAAAAGCCTAAGATATTACTTGGAAAATCACCTTACACCAACTTCTACAATCCAAGATCCCCATTTGTATAATTGCCTCTAATTAAAAATGACTAATAAACATGCAATTGTTTTATCATTTTAGTAAAATATCACAAAAGATATCATATAGTTTGCACACTGCAGCTAAAAGTTCATTTTACATTTAGTGAGTATTGATACTATCATTATTATACACTTTGACTGAGTTTAATTTGTTTCCAACAAGGGAGGTGAAACCTGTAAATTCCAAACCTGTCAACTTTGAAGAACAAGAAATGCCAAGGAAGGTTGTTGAATTAATGGAGTTTAAGCTGCTACCAGTGAACAGAAAGAAAAGTAAGAACATGACCACTCTTTCAACCATCCTCTTGACTTGCATGCACATACCCACACATGAAAAGTCAATAAGGGCAGTGCAATAAAATAACTAAGCATAAGAAAGTAGTCAGTTATTCAACCATAGCCAACACCATCACTTAGGAGCAGCTTGTTCACTCTGTGGTGCTCAGGATTTCACTAGAATTCTTAAACAATTGTTTCTTTTCATGATCAAGAGAAAAAAAGGGCAGGGATACAAGAGCCAATGATGGAAAAGGGAATGACAAAGCCATTGCCAGCTGTTCCAAAATTTAAACAGAGAAAAGGCGAGAGCGAACATGCATTCTTTAATAGAATGGATAGAGAAACCCAAGAAGTCATCGCAAAAGCACAATTTGAAGACAAATATAAAGTAACTTGTTATTTTTTGTATGCATTACAAGCACCAGCAATGCAATCAAGCTAATTAGGTTTTAAAATAATTGAGATCAAAGTAAAAATAGATGGAAGAGTAAAATATTACATTTCTGGTGTTTAAGTCATTATTTATGTGCTAGTGTATATATGCACACAGGTAATTATTCACTTCCACTACATATTGGTGATGACTTTATAAAGTTTTGAAAAACAAATAAACATTATTCTTTGTGAAAATAATTTTGAAAAAACCAAAAACGACAGCATAATTTAACATTGTAAGATGCCGTTTACCTTTAGATATGTTTCTGCAATCTTTCAAATGCTTGCATATTTAGAATTGCACATGGATTTGTATATCCCCCACTGTGTATGATTTAATCTTCAGGTGGATCTTAATGCCATTGAAAAAGGAGAAGTTAAAGTCAAGAAGAAAAAGAAAAAAATAAGTGAAAGAAAAAGGGAGTGAGTACAAAAATTTCTTTTGAAACCAAAAATTAATTTCAGATTCAATTTAGAGTAAATTTTATTGTAAAGGGATAACAACCTTTTTTAGAAATTTATGAATCGAATTTTTACAAATTTTGACTTTTCAAAGTGAGTCATGAAGTCACATTTTTTAATTTTATATTATTTGTTTTTTTATCAATTTTTCCTATTTTAATCAATTTTTTACTGGCCTTTTTTATTCCTTATTCAAGTTGCACTGTAAAGTCTACAGACAAAATTTGGATTTTAGGCTTAAAACAACAACAACAATAATAATAATAATAGTAATGTTATTATTACTATTATTATGCTAACTTTGTGGAAAATTTTACACAAATTCTTGTTCAGGAGGCAGAAGGAAAGAAAAGTCAAACAGAAAATACAGAAGACAAATAAAGTTGAAAAAAAGGCAACAGGCTTTGAAAAACTGGAGGGTAAGAGTATTGCATAAAACATGAGTTTATCTAATTTAAATGTGTTACATGAGATGTTTACTTTTGATCTTTTGTTTACTTAAATCTTCATAATATTTTGATTTGGATCCAATATTTGACCTCTTAATGAGTTTTTATCATGATTATTGTTATCAAATTTTGTAGGTGATCCAATGTTAATTTGAGGATTATATTTGTTTTTATTATAATATTATATAATTATTATTATTATTATTATAGTGATTATTATTTTTTTTATTGAATTTAGATAATGTGAAATTTGGCGAAGTAGCCATGGAGCCCCCAACATTGACAGCAAAACCCAAGCAAGCTTCTGACATTGCCAAGGTTGGTGTTTCTATTATATCCATTTTGTCTCCATGTAAACAATACTAATGAAATACATTTTGTAGGTAAAGGCAGTTAATATATCTAGAAGCTTGATAATTGGGATTTTTGTGCATAATATATTGATTTTCAGATCTTCGTAAGGCCTGATGTGCTTGGTGCTTAGCGTCTGAAATAAAATATTAGACAAGTGTTAACCAATACTCTCAATCTCTGGATATATATGTGCATGTATAGGTTTATGTGTGGGGTATGCACAAAGTATATTTTTGTTTCTATAAATTCTTTGCCACAAAATAAAAAAGAAAATCGTGGTTATGTAGAAATTGTCTTCCTACAACTGAATTCTCAAAAATAATGTCAAAACTACAGCATACATACATATTCTGATTGTTTTGCAATTTTTTTTAATGATAGTTTTCTTGATTGATAACATGGAATGCCATGATAACTGGTTGATCGATTCATTTGGTACAAATTTCTCTTTTCAGCCTGGACGAAAATCCTTACTACTGAAAGAAGTTATTCGGGACAATCAGTCTCACAATATTAATAAGTCTGTGTTTGGACCAAAGTCAAGAGAGGTTGGACAAACTGTTAAAAGAAAACATTTATCTTTTGCACAGCAGAGACTCGTAGATGGGGAAAGAGAAAAAGCTATAGAAACATACAGGCTAATGAAAGCCAAGAGGCAAAAAGTTTCTTGACCTTTAGTTTATGTTTGAATTTTATGCATTATATGCGAATAATGAAAAAGGCAGATTGTATTTTTGTATGTAAATATATCAAACTGAATTGGATACATTTCACGATAAAAAAATCATTGGCAATGTTTCATTATTTGCTTTTATTGTATACTTCTCAAATTGATCACATTATGATGTGATTACAAATATCAGTCCACATACAAGTGGTCAAAAAAAATAATAAATGTATGTGAACCATAGCATCCATCATGGAAAAGTAAAACCTTTTTTGTCTAATGAATTTTAACAAAGTAACATGCATCACAACATCTAGTACACATACATATAAATAAAAAAATGAGATCACATGATTTCTTCCAATTCATCATAATGATGGTAAATGAGGTGAAGATTTCTACTGGTACAAAGGTTTTTTGACAGATATTGACACGATCTAGATGTGTCACACATCTTCATCACAAGGTGGCACAACTACCACAAACTTGTGCTACGTCTAAATCATTTCGGAATTACCACAGCTACTGTTGCTCATTATGTGTGCAAAATGTATCATTGTCTGACAAAACCAAAATGGTTTGTCATAAAGAGTTAAATATGTTAGGAGATGTAGGACTGGCCCTCTTTCTGCGATGCTTTATGTTTTCTGTTATTAAATTAGAAAATAATTATGTTTGCAACTGAGCTGGCAATATTTACCTTGAAGGTACATGTATTCTCTAAACATGCGCTATGATCTTTTATGAAGGGAAATTTAGCTTTTGAAAAGAAAGGAATACATCATTCTGCAGGTAATTGAAGCTGCTTTAAGAACAGCAATCAAACCTGAGGTCCACCAAGTCCATAAATATGGTATCTAAAATGGTGCTCAATCTTAATCATTTATGATCTAAACAGCACATTTCTTCAGCATGTTGCAGACTTACAGAATACAGACATGAGCTTTTTCCATGAAAACGTGGAATTCTGCATTTTTTAATTCAATTTTCAGTCGGCCCCCGGACCCCCCGCTGGTTAGGTGTTGGGTCCCATGATAAATACTCAGAGGTTTTTTTTTTTTTTTTTGAAACCTAGGCTCATGTCTGAGAAAATGTAAGGCATTCTTTTTCTCCTAGTAAATATTACTTTGAACTACACATAGTGCAATACCAAAATGCACAGAAAAGCCAGCGTTCAGTTTTGGTGCATCAATACAATGCTGTCTCATTTCATTGACCATTTATTGCATAGAAACATTGCACTCAAATTACTTGATTTAAATAGAAAATAACCTCTGTTTCTTTGATATCACCGGGAACGAAAAGTATACTTGAGATTCCATAATGCTTGCCTTACACGTCCTTCGTAAAATAACCTCACAATTGGAGCCATTGTGTACTAAAATTAGAAAAATAAAAAAGAAAACATGGTCATTCCTTGTCAGGCTTGAAAAGTACTGTATATTAATTCAATAAAATTTACATTTAAGTTTATATCTCTAATATTACTTTAATAGCTATTGCTGAGTAAACATTAAGACAATGTTGCAACATTTATTGGAACAATGCAAGCTTATATTATCACATGAAAACAAAAGTACCTGAAAGTCCTGACCTAAAATATAGTCTACTGATTTTATAATAGCATTTTTATCTTAAGTTTTTAAAAGACAGACACCTGATTCTGCCTTTCCTGGTACATGTGCCCTGAAATTTGGACTGGTGGTGATGATTTTCCTCCACAGAATGGCATATAAAAAGTTATTGTAACAAGTAATCTCAGGGTGAAAGTGTGGCTTCATAGTTTCACAATTTTTTTTTCTCTCACCTGAAACAAGTAACTCCTCCTGTTGCTTAGCAGTTTCCACTCCAGCCTTGTCTGATCATCTTTCTCATATATAAGCAACATTTCTATATGAAGTAGCATCCACGAACCTGAGGTAAAGCTGAAATATTCTGGTGGACTGAAACCAGTGATGACAAGATTGTACTCTATATCACCTGTGGAAGAGAAAGAATGATGGGAAAATTTCTACTGTTACCAGTGATAACTGCTTTGTAATTTACATCATTTGTAAACTATAAAAAAGATGTAAATATTCACTACCAACTGTCACTTGCAATTAATGGTGTGCTCACCCCAAGCTGGAAACTGTCCTGTTTCTTTGTACTGTTTTCCAATATCAAGAGGAGAGGGATCATAGGCTTCTATCTTGCCTACTTCTGGAAACCACTGTAATAGAATGATTACAAATAAGATATTCAACAAAACTGCACATATGCTCGATAGCCACAGGCTGTTAAGATAAATATGTAATATACAGATCTTGAAAGTATAAAGTGTCAAAATTTTTATTTTTTATGTGCGATCACAGAAAATGGAAAGCAATGTAGATGAATGCTCCTTATGCAGCAGCACAGTATTTTTGTTGTCTCCTGTGTAAAGATGATAAAAAAGAAAGTAATTCATTTCTAAAGAGAGGAAGCTTTTTTTCTTCCTATGTGGCATGTTAGTGAGTCAATCATGTGATCAAGCCCCAGCTAGAAAATACTGTTAATCTGTTTAGAAATTATCTACTCGTTTATCATGTTCACTGTTTTTTCATACTCTAGCTAGAAAAGTGGCTATTATTCATGATATGTAAGAAAAATATGATGGCATGTTTTATTGTAAACACTGTCACAATCACGTTGTACTACATGTAGATGATGCTATGTCATTTAAATCTGATTGAGGTAAAAAACATTTACTTCACATCTACTGAACACTGACTGTACAGTAGGTATCTCGATCAACTATTGGTTGAATGGTGAACAGTGCATTGTTAGTGCTACAGTTCACTTATTATTATATATGCAGACAAATAAATAAAGAAAGAAATAAAAAAAGAAAAAATCATATTCATATACTTTGCAGCTACCCAGTACATGTACTTTCGTTTGCATGGCAGGTTTGTGTACAGGCCCGTAGCCAGAAGGGGTTCAGGGGGTTCGGAAGAACCACCCCTTTTGCTGGGAAAAGGTCCACTCTGGGTAAAATTTGATCTAGGTACATGAAGTTTTTATGGGAAAAGGTCCACTTTTTCAGAAAAAGAACCCCCCTTTTGAAATTGCTGGCTACGGGCTTGGTGTACATGTCACTGACATGTAGATGTTGAAATGAAGAATTCCTTTTGTACCTGACTGTACTTATCCATGTTAGATATAAAATTAAAAACTGTTGGTCTTCCTGCCTGCAGTACAACTGCCTTATTGAGCAATTCAATGTCACCATCATGTTCCTTTTGATACAGCACTGAGACCAAAATCACCAAGACTGTAACCAAGATGAAATACACCTTCTGGGAAGCCATGTTGACATACCTGTATAAATAGAAATAAAAAAAGGTTATTTATGACGACTAGGTAAATCGAGCCCGTTTCCGTTCTTTGTTTAGGTTTTGGAGCAAGAATATTAAATTCCTAACTTTGTGACTCGTGCTACACTGAGCAAATCTGCAGCCAGTGCCTGTAGCCAGTTAATCAGCTCCGAGTATTAGTATTTAGAGGGAAAGATAAAAAAGCATACTTACCAACACTCTGCTAGTTGTAAAACATTATCTGACAAGATAAAACAAGGTTTTATCTAAAATGTGATAATGTTGTATCGATTTCTTGGATACAAGACGCCACTTTCACTTCCGGTTACCAAGACGCTCCAAATTCGAAGAGAACTTGCAAAAAAAAAAAAAAAGATTAATCTACTGCAAATGACACAGCACATTTCAAAAAACGAGCGACGTGGAACTTAAAGTTACGGTTAACCAGTTGTTTAAAATTCATTAGTCAAGCAAGTTCTTACGTGCTGACATCTATTGGCAGTGCTTAAAATGTGCTGCACTAACTTCAATTTTGAGCTAAATCTTGGAAAAAAAAAAGATTCGTATTATTTGTCCAAGGCAGGGGCGGATTTAGGGCGTCTTCTGGGTCTTCCGGAAGACGGTCAGATTTTCAAGTTTACATTGACGGGTATCTAATTCTTTTTGTCGGAAGACGGTCAAAATGGAGGATGGACCAAGAAAGATAAATTGGAAGACTGTCAGAAAATAACCCTGGATCCGCCCCTGCAAGGCTAAACGTTATCCCAGTTCTTTGAAATAATGGGCGATATGATAAACACCAAATGATATTAACAAATAACATAAAAAATCCCAACAAGAATTAACGATAGCCATGCCGAATAACTTAATTCAAACGCACGTTACCCCTGTGAAATGGTTTAAGCGCGTAGACACACAATGACTTTTAATTTCAAAATTGTCAGTATCCCGATATATCAGAATTTACTCCCTCCTAGAAGTTGGATAAAAAGACTCCTAAAGTCCGTCCACCCAACAGTCCAGTGTTGCAGAGTGAATTGGCCTATATAAATAAAATGTAATTTCATTTCCCAAAACTGAAATAGTAACATCTGACACGCCATTCAGTATTTGTCACAGGATATAGTCACGCTCGGCTATCATCTTGATCGGTTAATGACTCTAAAAACCCACAAAAAGACAGGATAACACATTAGTGAACAAGAATTAGAAAAAATAATAATAAAATCGATTAAGTATTTTTTTCACGCATTTAATTTTTAAAAATCGCCATAAAACGCCATAAATTCGTACACCTGCTATCCATGCGCATGTGAGATTGGATTCAAATACTGGTACAAATAGGTTACGTCGTTTTCTCACCGTCTTGAACAGGTACAGCATTGCACATATTAACAACTGTTTTTTCCGCATATGCGCCTCATTGTGACAGCATACTCTCTGGCCACTGGGTGCGCTAGTAGGGGCCCAGCCGGTTACAAATTATTGTACCTCCCATTTTAATTTTATGGACTATGTTAGAAGCCCCTGAGGGCAATGACAGCATTTGTTTAGTGTTCGCAGCATCAAGAAGGAAGAGCGGTATGCCTATTTGACATGAAAAGATTGTTCAGTTTTATCCCCAGGCCAGGTTTCTGAAGGATAACAGTCTTTTTTAAAGGCCACTAGGCAGCTGTTTTAAAGATACCCTGTTTTGTAAGTTCCTTACACCTTGAATATTGAGAGATGTTAACGGATATATCTGACCTTCCAATATTTTGGGTAATTTTTTAACTATAGGCAATTTTGTAAGATCTTTTTTAGTATATTAAAAGACATAGGCTTGGATATTACGCTTCTGGGCGCATTCCAATTACTAGTGAACAGTTAATTACCACCAATGTAATGGCAGGGAAAGCAGAAAAGGTCGACGGATTAAAACATGAGCTTGTAGATCCGATGAATGTGAAAATCAATTAAAATCTCGTTGTGTTATCAAGCAAGGTAATGCATAAGGCCACTTCCATAAAAACTCTATTGCGCCTAAACGCGCTGTAAAGACTAATTTTATTGGACGTTCTGATAAGCCCATTAACTGTACGGTAGGAGATTTTTTATTTCAATATAAAATGGAATAAAATTTGAATGAAGGCTAAGGCGTTTCTTTTAAGATATAAATTATCAGTCAGAGAAGTGGGTATAAAACCAAGTTATAGTTCATAAAAATGCCATAAAATATTCTAATTATCTAATTATCCTGGCTTTTGGCGAACTCTAAATATTTCACCACATAACAGATTAAAAATAAAACCACCAATTTCAGGGAAAGTAAAATTAGCGATGTATTTATTATTTTTTTAATTATTTATTTATTTGTTTAATTATATATATATATATATATATATAGAGAGAGAGAGAGAGAGAGAGAGAGAGAGAGAGAGAGAGAGAGAGAGAGAGTCTGCAAGTGCTGAACAGTCGATCAGTTCGTGATTGGACGTGAACCAAATGATCCGATGGGGTAATCCAGCGATAGTGAAAATTCGTTTTTATCAATATTGCAACCCAAGCCCCGAAAATGTCAGATGTACATGCATCTTCCGGGATTATGCCTTTTGAGCTTTTGTGTCATGATATAGCTATATCAAAGTATATATGCGGGGTACTAGCAGCCGAAATTGTCTTTTTTCCCGTCCTCTCTTTCTCGACACAAATCACTCGTGTTAAATCTATGTGAACACCAAGAGAACACCGATCAATATATACGAGCGGCAGTTAAACAGTTGGTAATATGCGTTTTTAATTTACCTTCCCGACCCCTAGTTATGTCGTTATGCAGCCAGCGCACTTATAAGTCAGGCAGGTGTCTAATCTGCAGTGTCAACTTTGCTGAGCTGGAGCATTTGCAACTCTCTTTATGTTAAGACACGACTTACAGGCAATCTTTGCATTTTCCATTATTCGGCAGTGGTGCGTTTCAAATCATAAAAAAGGGCCGGGGCACGGAATAACTTTAAGCACAAGGTGGGTTACTTGTTCGATATTTTCAAGGACTTAAATTTGTCGATTTTAAGCATATATTTGTTTAAAGTCATTATCTCTAATGCGGCAGTGAAGCCATTGTTACGATGGTGTGACATTCCATCGTCATAGCCACGACCTTGCTCACCAGCCAAAAGAAAGGGACGGGAATGATATAAACCTTGTCTGGACGACGGATAATAATAACAAGAGGTAAAGTATTAAGTTGTATATAGATGCATGTTGCAATGCCAAGATCTACGGCAGATTGCGTGGGAAAATAGCCATATCTTTTTTCCCCATTGCACTGATAGTACCGGGATTGCCTGTATACATCTATGAACATCGCTTGTAAGTTTGAATGGGGCAATAAAGTCCCTTGTATAACGTCTTTATTATCAAGAACTCTCGCTTGAAATATAAAGGAATGTTTTCGGTCGATAATTTCACTGTAATTTCCTGTCAATGGAAGTCAGCAAAAAAGCCAAACGAAGACTGAAAATGTACAAAAAGACATACATTGATAGATGAAATTAATCTTGGTATTTTCAATAAGACACAAATAAAAAAGTTCTAGGAAATTAAATCGGTGCATTTTTCATCATATCTTCAGATAAGCTTAAAGTAGACAAAGTAGCGTATTTTACACAATGTCACAATATATTCCTGATAACCTCTATATCTAGGAGGGCCAGCAGTCCAAGCTGACAGTCTTCCAGTCAGATCGACAGTCTTCCAAAGTTAAATCAGTAATCAAAGCACCATTCTCACCAAATAGAAGCGTCTTTAAAGGACACTTTTATCTTGGAGAAGGCCCGGAGGATCGCCCGAAATCCTCTCAAATCCCCATCCACCTTAAATCCCTGTAGCATCCATATGTAACTTCCCCTCTAAACCTACAACAACAATTTCCCATCAGAAACAGTCATTCCTCAATCAACATAATATTGAAAACTCTCCTTCCCTCGAAATAAGAAGACCAAGACTTCGGCAGAATAAATTTACATACCACGCTAATGAAGTAGGGAATTCAAGTGCGTCAGTTAGCAGTCCAGAACAAGGCGTCTTTTTTTAAATTCTGCTGCCTCATTTTTTGTGGGCCACAGTTGTGAACTTGGTTTTACTTGATTTAAAGTGTTCAGACATTTTTGTTTGTCAGGCTTAAGGTGGATTCTGTTCGTTAATCAGGTATGATGTTTGCATTAGGTCCGTAGACACTGCATCCTAGGTTTACACGGCTCGTGCGCCGTCCTTATCTAAGTGGTTGATGGATATTTAAACAAATCGTAGAATGGTTTTAATAGTGCAATGAATCAGTCAATTAATGAGGTTTCAACACAAGGCATCGAGAAGCAGGCAAGTTTGTGCACTTGGTACTCAGTCAATAAGACAGAAAGGCAGAAAAAAGTGCCAATCAAGAGCTTTATGAGCTCCGAGGATACAAGCGGCACGCGCATACGCACGTAGCAACGGAAAAACGTATTATACAACCAGCTATGGTTTATATACTTTGAAGCAATATGGAATCTGATGGTCTTGTTTTGCCACGAGGTTGAAGCTTTTTTTTTTTTATAATCGAAACTCGATGCTGTGGTAAGATGTCGTGTGGTTTGCACTGTTTTGTTCACTGAAACGGTAATAGTGCGAGGTGAGCGTTGATGTTCATGGCTTCACACAGCTGTTTCTGAACTTATATATCAGGCAACGCAAGTCCATTTCTCGGGCTTAATGTGCTGTTTGAATACATATCGCCATCTCGAACCTATTACCAGTGCATTTGGACAACTATGTAGCCAGAAATTGTTAGCTGGTACAAGTTTTCAAGTGGTATATTAATACGGAATGTTATCATTATACACGGAAGCACTTTTCTTCCATTTTAAGTGACCCTGGGTAATGGAAGTCATGTCGAGGGCCTTTTTTTTAAATTTCAGTTTGCTTTTCACTGCCTTCTCGAGCAATCCCTGAAAGTATTGCTTGCAAAGCACTGCAAAGCACGCGCACAGGGTTGTACGTGCACACACTTAATATATAATTAAATCCTTAAAAGCATGCGCCGGATTGCTAAAGATGGCTGATTGCAACTGCGCAAATATAATAGTGATGGATTTTCGTGACACTGTATTGTGAAGATGTTTCATATTCATTCATCTGAACAATGACAAATGCTTGTTTTTTTTATCTTATATTAGATTCTTCACCTATCGCGCTTCAGTCATTCACACATTACAAGGCGCCTATACACGTACGAATTTACGTACGCGCGCGCACAAATAATAGCAGTCACTGCATGTAAGTAATAATCATGAAACGGTTGTCATATTTGAAACAAGTCAAAAAGTGATGGATGGATGAGGGCAGATTTCCGTAAAGGCTTATTTCAGAAAAGTAGGCTTAATCCATCTTTTTCTTATTGTCAAGGTATGCGAGGCCCTAAGGACGTGAGAAGAAAATTTGCGTCTTGTTCCAGAACAAATTTACACCTGTAAAAGCATCCTGGGGTGTCAGAACAGAAAGCTCTTCTCTTCTCTGCTTTCACGGACGGTTCCAAGAATTCACAGCTTATCCTATCACAGCAAATATCTCGGTGACGTCAGTCCCTGTGAAGGCCGCTTAATGCCGTTTCCGTCGCCCAGCAAGTGTAAACACACAGCGAGCACTGGCTTACATACAGCAACAGGAGAAAAGATGGGGAACGGCGCAAGTGCCTCTCACGTCGTTGTGGAGGGAGAGGCATTGGATATTGTGAAACTTCGGACGCTTTTATCAGAACTAAAACGAGAGTTAAGGCAGAAGGAGGAGCAGATTGAACAATATCAGTATCAGGTGGAGGACTTAACGAAAAGTTTGGCTTTTAAGGAAAATGACGTTCAAAAGCTTGAGAGGGAGATAGACAAATTGCGGTCCGTTTTGGAACTGACAGTCCACAAAGATGGAAAACCCGATATTTTGGCCACAATACAGGAAGACAGCGTCATGGTTGGGCAGGCGACAAGGGGAAAGAAACAGGGAGTCTCTGGCGAAAGCACAAACTTCAGTCGCAGTTCTGTTGCCCTTAAACACTTTGACAAAGATTTCAGGTGAGTAGAATTATTAAAATGTTCTCTCTCTCTCTCTCTCTTTCCTGTGTTGTTTTTCCAAAGTTTCCTGTGTGCTTCTGCGCCTCACAACCCTATAGCTGTGCATTGGAACATTGTTTTAGCAGATCCATTTGATATCGTTTTATGTCCGTGCCGCGGAGCCTTGTCCTTACTTCTGTGCGAATATCGACATAAGGAACAATGTGCGACTTGAAGGTATTGCGGTCTGCTTCCCTTTTTATTCGAGCTTTATACTGTATGACCTGCTCAAAAGTAATGTTTCATTTCCATTGCTCAAAAGTAATGTTTCATTTCCATTGCAATGGTTTTTCTGCAGTTCGTCTGTCAAAAACTATGTCTAATATGCAAACAAGAATAATGAGGGAATCAGCGCTCTCAGATATCTATATTCTTACTCTTAATTGTTATGTTATTATCTCTACAGATAGGTTTGAGTTCACTGAGAGAATGCTGTGCACTGTTCTCTCTATAAAAAGTGATGAAATGAAGGCAAATGGAGGTGTTGCACAACCACGTATATGCCAAAGCCATGCACCCTGCAAATATCCGAAAAATAAATATAAGAGGGGATCAATATGTATGCAGTTCACAGCATGAATAACGCTGTTTGGCAATGGCACAATACTTAGCAAATAAATGGTAGTCAGCTATATAAAATAAAATGCCTTTTTGCATGCACCGCATCTAAAGGTAATAAACCAAACATTGCACAAGGCACTTAGTTGTCCATGTTTTCCACATGCTTTAGGATTGGTCATCTCCATTACTTGACTATCTCGCGTTTATTAAACACTACTTTAGGTGACACGTACATAACAGCATGAGATAATTTGCTTTCAGTTATATGTCAACGTTTTTCTCTATATGGGTGGAAATAATAAAATCCCCTTGTAACAATGTCACGACAGGTAGCGATGCAGGTTGACATTCTCCCCTATGTACACAGTGTAACTACAATTAGTGCCAACTGTAATTGTACTTTCTCCCAATACCAAGCAAAGACAGTGCGTGTTAAAGTAAATGTATACCGGAAATTTCCCCATAATATAGTTGCTTTCATCTACCTTTAAATAGCGCGTCTAATATAACTCGACACTGGTGACGACGGTAACGAAAGGATTATCGGATATTCCTCTGATAAATGCAATGATGATACACGTATTTAAAATCGGTTTAGCATCTTACTGGCACGTTGAAATTAAATTTACCCTTTGTCAGTCGGGGGAGAACATAGTTATCGAACTGCTGTGAAATAGGGGCGTGTTACCTTGCCAGAACCTATCTAACTTTTCAATATCTTGGCTCACTATCGAGGAGCACGATTTCATTTATTTTGAGTAAGTGGCAAATGAAGCTGCGTTCAAATAAATAAAAATAAATAAATAAATAAATAAATAAATAAATAAATAAATAATAAGACTAATAAGTAAATAAAGTTTAATAGGATATTTGCACTGGATTAAACCCACCGCTTTTTAAACATGATGGAAGGGCCATTTCACGAATCATCTTTTACTCCCATAAGACATCTTGTCAGTTCAATTTATGTTCATGTGAGTTTACTTAAATAGTGCAATTGCCCATTTCTATCTTCTCTTCTTTATTGGGTGCGAAGAGAAAAAATATCTTGCAACGGACCCGTAAGATAAGTTAGAACATTATAAACACGTAATACCCAGATAATTTTCTGCTGAGCAAATCTTCCCTTAAGCCAGATCAGATTTCAGAACAGTGAACTAGTGAACATCAATATATCAATACGTGCTGGTAAAGCGGTGAACTTATCCGTCACCTGTAGAATGTATGTATGTACTCGCGTAAATGCAGTGCGTATCTGCTATCACCTTTTGACAAATGCACGCTATAGGGTACGTGTTTCTGTTAACTCATACCAATCCTGGCAATTAAGTATGGGGGATGGCGTGAGCTATGAGCAAACATGTCACCATCTTGTCACCGTCAAATAGCTAGGAGACATAATGTTATTCGGTGATTCAAAATGAAGTTGAAAAGTGTGTGTGTGTGTGTGTGAGAGAGAGAGAGAGAGAGAGAGAGAGAGAGATGCGTGGAACGCCACTTGCACCACGAATCAGGAACCCGAACACTCCTTGACCACCTTCGTTATAAATATGACATAAAAAAGTTACATCGTTAACGCTTCTTGCCAATGAATTTCGAAATTAATCGCGACCAGACACCTCGCGCCAATAATATATGAGTTTGCTTCAAGTATTTTAGGCAAATGCAAGATGTCTTAAATGAAAACAGCCAAACTCCATATAATAAAAAAATGTCTTAGAGGAACGTTAAAACGCTCATATAAAGTGAATAACGCTTGCAAAATTAGGAAAGCTTTGCTGATGGCAGCGCAGGTTAGCATTTTTTACAGCGGTCAACAACCGTTTCATATGTAGGTTAAGGATGCGTCCGGGGAGATTTTAAGACGAGTCCTGTCTACATAAAGGCAGATTTCCCCTAGAGGTCCACCTTAGCGGCCAGTAATGTCAGCGCACACTATGCCTCAGTCACATTCAGAATAGCAATTGGACACGGAGTCGGGAAGTTTTACGAAATTAACAAAATTTTGCACTCAGTTTAGTTATGCGTTAAAAAACGATAACGTAAACATTACTGGCATTTCTCACCTTAAAGTAAACCTCATCTGGTGATATGACACCGATAACACGCACCTGTGAGGTTCACCAGACTTTTAAACCTCGGCATAAGAAACGGCTTCAGCAACCAAAGGGACTTCATAAAACACCTTTTTTCAGTTAGTACCATAGTGCAAACTGACATTACCATGTAAATAAAGCTGGCGATTCTTGGCTTGAAATATGTACCTCACCGGTGGCGTGTAATAAACAACACAAGAATTTGGCGGTCAGCATCACTTACGGCTTCACTTTGATGTCTTAGAGTAGTTCTGAGCATGAAACACCCAGAGGAGGGCAGTGACTATTGAGCAACAGTCCTACTGAGATTTGACTGTAGGGAAACCGGTTTTCTTTTCCGTAGTGAAAGCACCAAAGTAAAAATCCATTTGTGCACGCAGTGACGATTCACAAACATACATACATGCACACACACGGGACATTGTTTCCCCTATTCATATGTTTGGTTTCTCACCCATGATAAATGAGTAATATTGCTCTTGGTTATCAGTCCACTGGTTAAAAATATGTAATTTTATAATCGTTGGCGGCCATTTTGAAAACCGGAACAAGCAAGGGAATAGAATTTGGCGCAACTCTTAAGATAAATCCTAGTTTCATATTCATTACATTAAAGCAAATAAAGAAGATGTTTTAGAATGAATTATGGAACACATCTCTTGTTAGGAAACATAGTGTAAAAGCCATGATTTGTGGTGGCCATCTCGAATTTCAGGGTTTTACATCAAAACAGATATAAATGTAAATCAATTACCAAACACAGTCACCGGGGATTTGCTGCAAATACATCAAAATAATGAACATTTCTCAAATTTCCAATTAATTTTCAAAAGGTACGGATAACAAAAGGACGCAAAAAGCAGCAAAATCGGCCGCCAATTTTGGAATTTTTGGATAATCATAATTTAAAGAGCATATACTAATTTTTTTAAACACACGAAAAAGGTTCTCTTCCATTTAGATAGTACATTTGAAATACATGACATTTTCACGGTCTGAAATTTCATCACTGCATTACCATGGCAATGGGTCAGAAAATGACACCCAAAACCAGTTTAAAGGCAAGCAAACAGAAATGACAACCCGGGGTCCACTTAAACAGGAAATAATAGTGGATGAAAGATTCTAATGGGGTGAGGGTTGGTTTCAATTACTGGCCTAATATTGAAATTATCGTATCTCTTCTGCATGTATGGTCGGATATACATGGTCGGGTAGAAGAGGCGCCGTGGCATTGTAAAATGTCAGTGACGTAAGTGTCATTTGAAATGGTTATCGAATTTGCGTTTCAGTGCATCCTTGTCTTCGTTCCTTATTTTAGCTCTATGAAAGAATAAAAGAGGTAATGGATTAATCCAAAGAAATTATCTCCAGAAAGTTTACCGGGCTATCCGAAGCAAACTGCTTAGGGCTTCATTTGCAGGAATCCGAGCCTTTTGTTCAATAAAACGAAAGCTAGTAGCTTCTGATAAACCAAGCGCAGGCACACATATAAGTATTTTAATTTAAATCCCTAACAGACAAAGGTACTACTACCTGGTATAATATTCAGCAGAACAAGAATATTAATTTGCAAATTTAACATCTATCCTAGGTCCAAACAGTTGATAAAGGATGCAATATTGGACAATGACTTCCTAAAAAACCTTGACAAGGCCCAACTGCGAGAGGTGATAGACTGTATGTATGAGAGGACGACGCAGAAGGGACAGTTCATCATCACGGAGGGAGAGGCAGGACAGCACCTGTTCGTATCCGCGGGTAAGAAAACGGGGTTGGTGTCAGCTTTCCAGTTTCACCGTTTTCACCATCTACTCAAAAGCAAAATCATGTCTTTGACATTGAAGCAGTGTCTTTCAGAAGGACGGCTAAATTACCCCCCCTATCCCGTAATACCAAAGTGGATGGTTTATGTAAGACTGCCATCGATTTACTTCTATACTTGGTCAACTACTTTACCATACTTTAGACATGTCATGATTGCCTGCTGCACCTGCCAAGAACCACGCTTGTAATTGGCTTGTATTACATGCAGGATATAAATATTCTCAGTTATCTGTCACCAATTAAAATTTACGGGTATTGTGAAACGGAACTTAATCTTCTTCCAGTTATTTGAGGAAATCCCGTGTGCTTGTGAACATGTAACTGCGTGCATAAAATTGCCAAGTGCCATCTTTACCATATCGGCGTAAAACGATAGAAATACTGGTTGTAAAGATTTCTAATACAGCGTATTTGAAACGTGTTGCAGCTATATCAAAATTCAGTAAACTTCAGATTGAGGTTCAGTTTTCATGCATTCTTCGTTGGTTTCAGAGGGGGAATTAAATGTTCTGAAAGATGGACGTTCCCTGGGAACAATGACTGCGGGAAGAGCGTTTGGTGAGCTGGCGATCCTCTACAACTGTACGCGTACGGCGAGCGTCAAAGGTAAGGGTGTGCCGACTTGGTAAGAATTTTATGAAGGCATTTGGGGCGATTTTTGTATGAGGTTAAGTAAGTTGATGTTTGATAGCCTTTCTTTGGCGCTTTAGCACGAAAAATGAGGCGTCAGTACTTTTAAGTTTTTTTTTACATTTGTCGTACTTAAAATGCCATAAAATATACTATTGAATTAATAAGGTACAAGTTTATATTTTGTTGAAAGAAAAAGTACATGTATCAGGCGCACGTCCAACAGCCGTTTTATGGAGTATTTTGCACTCATTGTTCACCCCTTTGTCTTAAATTTTGTCGCAGAATTAATATCATTTAATATATAATTTTTTTCTATTTAACCCTATATATTTCTTGCCAAACTATAAGTACAAGGCAGACTGTATTATCCCTCTTTAAAGAATGAAAGGTAACGCAGTGCTGGACTTTATTGATCGTCTGCAACGTAATAAAACTAAAATGTGTATTATGTGGAAACAGTGATAACATGCTAAATGTTTGTATCTAACATTTCTTTTTTAAGCTTTCCTGTAACAGTGTGGATAAATATGAGCCAAATTAATGATTTTGTTTGAGAAAAGACATTGGTAAATGTTGGTAACAAATTACTAAAAAGTTTTCATAATGCCATACGGGCCATTTTTCGCGACGATCTTTAATTGCAGATTTGTGAAATTTGTTTTCCAGAATAAAACAAGTTTAGAAAAGCAAAGCAGTTTACATCTTTCCTATATATCAAAGATTTGCATACGTAATTAGATGTAACAACCCAATACTTACAGTCCATTTTTTTTTCAGCTCTAAGCGACGCTCGACTATGGGTACTGGACAGAAGTGTATTCCAAGCTATAATGATGAAAACTGGACTACAGCGCCAAGCTGAAAACATTAAATTTCTTCGCAGGTCAGTCTTTATCAAAGACAAAATAAACTATCACCTGTCTTCATATGATAGATATTAACCTGACACTCATCCATGTGGTTGAGGCGGCTTTGAGGAAAAGGAAAAAATGGGTAAGATTTTTCCATAAGCTCTGATTACTCGTGATTGGATGAAGACATACTTTGTCCTTATAACCACGGCATGAGCTTTTCCATCTTGGTAAGATGGAAAAATTACACCCTTTTTTCCATGATGAAATGCCCCACAGTACTAATTTTACAAATATTCACAACACAAAAAATGAGTGCATTTATATGTGCTATTATTACCCACAAATTAATTTTCGACAGGGGTAAAACGGCCACATTATGCTATTGCATTCACTCAGAAACATAAAAGTATACCTGCTTGTATCATTAAAATTATGAATTAATAAATAAATAAAAATGTTCACAGATAAAGGATTTGCAAACTATAGCACTCTTAATTCAACAAACATGATCATCTTATTATTGAATATAGTTGGCACATCTTAATTGCCTGACATAACTGACATTTAACACACTCTGCATGCACTCATTTTTTTTCAGAAATAGCAATGTAGGTGATAGCTTGAATTAAATTTGGTAGTAAGATCTTTAATTTACAACGGATTGTTTAGTCCACAATTATTGCAGTAATTAATTGAAAACCAAACATAAAAATAAAATAATTAGAATCATCTGCCCACCCTCAAACCCCAAGAGGCTCCATGTATATCTGTGATGATAGGTCTGCCAAAACCCTAAGACTGAACTACCTCATTACAATGGTCTAGGAGGATAAAGCGGAAATTGCAATGTGTAAAACATTAAGAATCAACAGCCCCCGCAGGGGCAGCCCAACCCCCAGTTGCACTAAAATTTCAAAGAGTCCATGCACATCCCTGATGATAGGTCTATTAATCCCTGAAGATTCAACTTTCTCACTCTAAAAGGAGTTAGCAGAAATTACAATATGAAAAGAATTTAGAATAATCAACCACACCTAGGGACAGCCCAACCTCCAGTCGCACTAAAATTCCCTGGTGATAGGTCTCTCAATACCTAAAGTGTGATCTTTCTCACTCTAATGGTCTAGGTTGAAATACCAGAAAATACAGTGTGAAAAAATTAGAATCAACGATCCCCCAGGAACAGCCCAACCCACAGGTGCACAGAAAATCCTAAGTGCTCATGCACATCCATGATTACAATAAATATAATAATAATGAAGTTTCCTCACTCTTATGGTACTGGAAGAAATGGCAAAAATTACTATGTTAAAAGAATTTAGAATCAATCACCACCCAGGCACAGGCCAACCCCCTGTTGCACTAAAAATCAAATCTGTTCATTCTGGGTCTATCAAAAGATATTTAAATGAAAGTCTCCAAAATTGTGACATATCACCAGACAGAAACTTACCACTAACTCATAAACAAACTCACAAATGAACAGAGGAGCATTACAGTAATATATATATATAAAACAGAGAAGGGACTAGGAAAAAGATCATCCTTGTTAGGTACACATCAGTTCTTGAGTTCTACATTATGTAACAGGATGTGCTGACAGATTTCAACGAATCACAGCAAAATAAGACAAATTACATGACAAATGCTTCCTAACAATAATGTTATCAGGTACCATTTTTACAGACACCTCTCTGTTTCTTTGATTAAAGGGAAAGCAGTTGCTATGCAACCATTAATGCTATAGCTGCACTGCTTTAATTCCCAGGACAAATCAAGGAAACTAGAGGATCAGAGAGGCAAATCTCCTTCCTGGTTATGTACCACAAACTGGAGTAGGCACATAAAAGGGATGATAACATAAATGAAAAAAAAAAGACAGAAGAAAGACATGTAGAAGTGGGCTATAAGGAGTTCTCTGTTTTGGCACATAATGGCTGACACACCTGTGAAAATGTACCTATTGATCAGAAACTCTTCATGTAAACACCAATGTATGGACTCTCAAAATTGATAAAATATAACCCGTAAAGTGACCTCTCCAAAGTTGTGTTTGTTCTCTCCTTTCAATTTCTGTAATCACTATAACCCTTTTACTTTCATAAGTGAGATAGCACATATTAATTTGAGATACCTGCTGCCTGCATATAATCTATTTTTTAAACAAAATACCACTTGTAAACTGTTTGAAAAACTCAAAGTATCAGACTTGAGTTGTATCATACTGTGGGGCACACCTCTTTGTTTCACAGCATTTTAAAGGACTGTCAATAACATGGCTAGCATTTAAGAGTCATCGAAATAGAGCCACAGCACTGAAAATGAATGGTTCATCAGATTAATATTAATATTAATCCAAACAGTTTAATATTTTCCAATTAATTTAGAATAAAAAATTGACAAAGGTGCAGTGCAATGAGCACCATCCCCAGGTTTAAGTTAAGAATATATGTGATCTCATTTCATAAGCTGATTATATGGAATGTATCCGTCTTGTCTTACAGCAGTGACATTTGTCAGGTAGGGTAATTCATACAATAAAAGTTTCAAGTGTAACAGCAAAAAGAATATAAAAGACATCTAAAAAGTCAAATATTTAAGCATTGAGCAATCATAATGTACCAGTCCTTCATAAATGGTACCTGCTGTCTCCCTGGCTTTCCTATTTGGCACTCAGCACTTAGGGGTTGAAACAGAGGTAGAGTATCTGACCTGGCAGTGAAAGATCCTGTAGTAATAATTGGATCCTATTATTGTACTAAATAAAAGGTCTAAATGATTACACTAGACTGCTTCTATGCCTAAAAGTCTGGCTTCTCCAATCCGCAGGTATACAGTGACTTTTATCAAAGATGACATTTATTCACATTGGAATAGATGAAGGAAAATCAAATTTCAGCCCATGTCAATTTACAGTGATGTTTTCCTGATATGATCATATTCTGTTATGACATTTTAATAGCAGTGATAAGTAAAGACAAATCAAATCTCAAACCTGTGCATATTTTCTTGCCATGGTAGTTCATATTTCACATGCTACCTGGGGATTTGTGGCCATTTACAATTATAAATCGGGGAGAAACAAGAACAGCGTCCTTTCTTCTTCACTTGATTAACTAGCGCACACACACACACACACACACACACACACACATAGTAATAACTCCATCTTTTCAATAGGGAAAAAAGTGAATTTTACAAATACCCTTATTTCTTTAGTCATACATTTTTAAAATTAGAACATTCCTACCGAGTGGAAGCAACAAAATTGAAAAGCAGGCCAGCTTATAGCTCTGTTCTTTACAGTTAAAGCACCACAAATGCTCAACAGGTGTATATTTTTAATGATCCCAAAATTATGTATCTGAAATATTAATAATTTCTCCCCATTGAAAAGACTAAGACATTACCTGTATACTCGATATTTTTAGCCTGATAATCCCTATTTCCTGCTCACAAACTTAACACCTGCATGTAACTGTACAAATGAATCCTGCTTAAAGCTCTTTTCTACATGTCATGAGGTATGCTAGTATTTTCTAGTCAAATGTGAAATTTACTATTCATGTCAGTAATGAATTCTTGTAGTTGTTTCATCACATAAATAAATAAATAAATAAATAAATACAAACAAATGATACTCAGCTAGGTATCTAGAAAACCAATGTGCATACATTCAAGTACAAAGGAGGTACATGTAGGTGGGACTGACTTCTCATATGGATAGAAATTGCAAGCAAAAGATACCATGTAATAAGTAAAACTGCCACAACATGAACATAAATGCAGCCAAGTTAAAAACCAGTCTGAATGTCACTGCAGTGTCATAAGTGTGCTGACTGCAAAAATGTGATGTATGCAAAAAGGAAAGATTCAACAGAAAATTGATAATTTTACATTTTGTTTTTCCTTTTAGCGTTTCACTTCTGAAAAGACTTCCCAGTGAAAAACTAGCGAAAATAGCTAGTGTCCTAGAAATGGTAAGCACATTTTCAAATTTGATTTTAGTGAAAATAATTACATTACTTTCAAAGCAGAGTAATGCCTGTCATTTTTAACTGGTATACATAAAGCAATTCACAAATTTCATTTATATGAATGTTTTATCATTCAGTTGATGAGGTGTGTATAAAGTTAAACTGAATTAGTGAGGAAATACTATTAGTTTGAAATGAAGAAAATTACAAACCAAAAATTATGAACATAAAATATGAATAATGAATTACATGTTTTTTTTTCAATATATCAAACTTCAGTGTTTGGAAGATAAATAACCATGCATTGTGAACCGAAGGCCTCTGTAATAATCCGCTTATATAAATTAAGCACTATTTAATTCATGACTATTTTCATGCAATATTTTTAGGATTTTTTCCATGAAGGAGAATGCATCATAAGGGAAGGGGAGGCAGGAGACACTTTCTTCATCATTAACAAAGGAGAGGTGAGTTTCTTGTACTGTATTCAAAATGGGTTTGGGGGGGAATATGAATCCTATGAAATCTATGTGAACCTTGTACAGGATAATGTTATGTAGTACTAGTTTTTCTATCATGTTTCATTATTTCTGCAGCTTTGGTATTTTTTTAATGACCATGCAATTTCCCTAAGTAAAAATTAATGTCTGTAAAAATCAAACCTTAATTTGTTATGTAAGTAGATATGTTGATTATGAAAATTATCTTTGAGTAGGCATGATAAAATAGAACACAGAAAACATCCAATTTTGATGCTCTGGCTAAAAGCTGTGTATTTCTAAGCATTTGCTTAATTACTTTAAATGTGCACAGGCTTGTATAAAGAGAACATTTTCCTGCTAGCAATTTTTGATTGATACGCAGGCTCTTAACATATAGATCTTAATTAGCTTTATCTCAGATCATACTGACACATTCAATTTATCAGAACCTTTTTTAAAAATTATTCATTGTTCTGAGTTTAATCTTTTGTTATTATTATTTTTTTTTTTTTTACTATTTTAATCAAATAATGTCAACTATTGCACTAAAAACATTCTGTTATATCCTAGACTAGGGGGGTGTAGCAATAATCTGAAAGTTCATTATTCCGTAGGTTCATCAGTTGGAATGTTCATTATACAATCTTTGGACCAATGAACCCTTGATAAAAAAACTGAAGAAAATGTTACCTTTTTTTCGGACCAATGAACCTTCGGATTATAGAGATGTCCCCAGACTACCCCTAGCTAGCATCTTAACAGATTGAATAATTAGAGGTGATTTGATATATCCTCTCAGCCACTGTATTACTTTTTCAATATACATATTATAATACATACATTGTTCTACATGGGTTTTAGCAGAATATCTGGTGATCATTTCATTTTTGACTATGTGACTCATGACATAGTTAAAAATCCATCAAACCATTTTTTAGAAGTAAAATATAATAAAATCAGGAAATTATTCTACTGGCACATGTACATATAACTGTAAAAATCTCATGTGTTAAGGTGGAAGTGCAACAGAAGCTCAAAGGTTTCAGTGACCCTCAGAAGATAAGGAATCTCAAGAGGGGTGATTACTTTGGTGAAAAAGCTTTGTTAAGGTAATGTCAAGTTTTTGACCTATAGTTCATAAGCCGACATCCATGATTTTTAACATTTTTGACTTTTAAACATTTTGATGAAAAAAATCAACAGTTTAGTCTAAATACCCAGTAAAAATGCTTCCTACACTTGTAGAAAACTTTTGACCAATCAAACATCAATTTGAATTACTTAATTAGGTTTTATTGAATACAAATTAGAAAAATCAAAATTAGTTTAAAATATTGAAGTGTTGTCATTTTTCTAGTGAGGATTATCGAACTGCCAGTGTAGTAGCCAAAGCACCAGGGGTGGAGTGCCTCACAATTGACAGGGAGTGAGTTTGACATTTAGCTGAAATCTTAGGTTTTATCTTTTGAGAATAACTTAATAAGGAGGATATGAATTGCTAGCAAATGACATGTAGTATTGTTACTTTTTAAAGATGTTAGTGAAAAAAAAAAGTGTTGTCATACTAAAATTCCAATTTCCCTTATTTTATTTTCATTATTGTGAAATATAATTGTGCCACAGTGAATTCATGCACATGTATATCATCAAGAATTTATTACCATGGTAATACATTCTTGATTTCATCACATATTCAAATTACAGATCCTTTACCCAGTTAATTGGAGATCTGAACGAACTTCGAGAAAAGGATTATGGAGATGAAGCAAGAAATGCTCAAAGGTAAATAAACATGTTTGTCATTTGGTATTTTTCTCTCCATTAGTAAAATATTAATATCAAAATGCTAGTTTAGGTACATTCTTGACAATATTTTCTATGCAACTCAATTTCACCTAAAATATCTATACATAACCGTTAATGTCATAACTGTCATCTTAAGATGTAAAAAAATATGTCACTGGATCAATTCATCAATACATATATACTCTTTGATCAACAAAATCAGGCTTTTCAACAAAAAAACAAAGCGCCTTCGGAAAATTGCACATATAATTAGGTAAGGAATTTTTATTCTCTGCAACCAGTGACAGCTTCCATATCAGTCATTGCCTTTAATTAACAAACCTCACTTCACAAGTCTACTTATCAGGTATACATAATTACTAATACATTTTAACGATGTACGAAAAAATCCAAGTAAACTGGATACTAATCTGTAGGTTCAAGTATTATAACTTATTTTTTAAATTCTTTTTATACCAACTAAACCAACTAATTTGATATTTTGTATTTATCATTCTAATTAAATATTTATCCCCTTTTTTGCATACAGACTCAAGTCTGCTGAATGCCTTTGAGTCATAAAAAAGCATGTTCCTGCAGAAAATCAACATAATCAGATTATTTTAACAAAAGGTCTTATTTACTGGAATGTGCAAGTTTATGTTAAAATGGAGCAATTGCATCCACTTTTTGAAAGTATTTTCTGTTTTTGTTTAGTTTGATACTAATAGTCAAGAGTTAACAGTTTTTATGAACTCCTTTGATCAGCGAGATGGGTAAATTTTTATGGCTGTCTTCCATTTACTGGGTATTTGTCAATTTTTCCTTTATTGCAATACCAGGAAACATTTATACCCAAGGAATTGGTCACAAGGGTATTTACAGCTTGGAGGTTTGTATATCTCCAAGATATGACCAGCATGCATGAATAATCCTAGCATTCTTAGAATTATATACAAAAAGGATGCCACATATCATGATATGCCACACTTCTCTACTCTTTGCCAGGGCCATAGATTGACTTTTCACTACATATTTTAAGACATTTCTCTGGCTAATTCTGTTCTCCTTTCTCTACCTTGACCCAGTCATGAAATCATAGCAATAATTACAGGGTTAGTCACTAATTAATAAAAAAAGCCAAGGCATTGTACCTTTGGTTGCAATTAAGACAGCTAATAGTTCTGAACTTAATTGCTTGCTCTGCTGTGAGATGAAAAAAAAAATCGACCCATGGTAATAGCTTGTTATTTTTAAATATGGTCAGTTGAAGGATTTTTCTGCAGTACAGTAGTAGCTGCCGGGGGAGGGGGCAA